CGAAGATTATGCTGTCAGTTTGGTGGGATTGGATGGTATATTTTAAGCTGCTTCTAAGGAAGGAGGTAGCCAAAATTGATCAATCGTAAAGGTGTCATATTCCATCAGGACAACAAGACCGCACTTTCGAAATTGACGAGGCTATAAATCGTTCAGCTTTCACAGTTAAAAGCCAGAAGCTCAGATGAGCATGGAATAATGATGTTCATTATAAAATTTAAAAAAATATATATATTTACATTCTTTTAAAAAATCGCCGGTTTCTTTTTGGGCAACGCAATATAAATTAAATTTTTTTTCAAATGGATCGGCCTCCCGTACCCTTTCTTGGTATGAAAAATAGATCTTGACCGATATTCATATCATATAAAATTATAATTAAGACGTACATATGTAAGTAAATACAAATGTAAATAATACATTAATATTGTACTGCCACTGACATCTTATTTCGCTGCCTCTAAATTACATACAAATCTACATATGTACTCTATATCATGACCACAGTACACTGTGCACAATGCAAATGTGTTAATTGCTTGTCAAATTTAATGACAAGACAGCATGCATGATCTGTCAATCTATAGATTTCAACTCTACGTTGACAATAATGTATAGAAATTTATATACATATATATGTGTATGTATGTATATACCTACAGAGCTGCTACAAAAACAAATTTTAATATCTGTACTGTTATTTACTAAAGCACAAAGCTACCTGCATACAAACCGATACAAGTAATAAATGAATATTGTACGTAGGTCCATACATGCTTACATATCTGCCGGCAGGTGAGGTTGAGCCTCATTAAAGCAAATAAAAGTCTAAGTGGCGAATAAATAAATAAATACTCATAAGTAAAAGGGAATAAACAATTTTCAACATGATAAAATGGGAATGTGTAATATTATATATGCAATAGTCATGTTTGTGTGCGGGCGTATAGTTGTACACCGCGTATGCGCGACATTTATCACTTGTCAACTAATGAAAATCACGCATACGCCGTGTGCGCCATGCAAATATTTGTATTGTACATACACAAATTATTAAATGGAAAAATGCCCAAGCGCAATAGCCCTCACATGTGCTGAGCTGCATGCGTATGTATGTATGTATGTAGGTATGTATGTATGAAAGGCATGTTTCTGGCAAGTCGCACAATTGTCAAACAGAAAACAAAAAGAAAAGTCATTAAAGTAAAATCAAAATTTAGAGCTCGGGATAAATGTTGAAATAATTTTAATGAATTGATATCAAAATTTAATGAGTCTCATGAACGTATAAAATTTATTGCAAAATCTAAATTTCAAATCGTTAGTTTTTTGGGAACTATATGATATGGCTCCTCGATTTGGATGATTTTCAGTGACAATGTTTAGCTTCAGATACGTGTGTAGCATATCAAATCGCACGCTGGTAGATACTTTCTTACGGGATTATTTACCCAAACCATCATATCTTAAGGAATCGGGTGTATGGGAGCTATATAATATAATCATCAGGTTTGAAGAATATTCGGTGTCAATATTTATTTATAGATATAAATACAGAATAGCAAATTTCATACTCATAGATGTTTTTCGGACGCAGAATTATATTTAATTCTCTATATGAGTGAAGAAACCAAATTTTATTTACTGATTTATATACTTTAATTAGTGTACTTATATGGGAGATATAAGATCTGGCTAGTTCCAACAAATGATCAATGCATTACGGAAATATATACATATACCTATAAACTGGCAGATTAGCTTGTATTCAGACAGACAGACCGACTGACATGGCTAAATCGAGCTGAGTTAAATTTCATTCTGATCATCTAGTTTAGCTTATCTCTGCGCTTTTACAGTCGAGTACCTCGTACCAAAGTTAATAATTTTCATTAACAGCATAAAAATATGTTATAATAATAAAAATATATTTTGTTTTTACACTTTGTCTAGAGATTTAGTCACGTCGGTTTATTATAAAACTTTGCAATTTGTTGTTTGTGACTCGTTACGTTTTTTTGTGCTCAAAAGAGTGTTTTTAGTGAAAAAAAAAATTAAAAAACACAGCATTAAATGTATTGTCCGTCGGCAGCGATTACTTTTTTCCAACCCTTTGGTAAGTTTCGAATACCATCCCTAAAAATTATTAAGCCATTCTCCGATTTCTTCAAAAAAAAACTGCCCCGAACACCGGACCCCCTCCCAAATTGTGGGTGGGATTTTGATTTCAGCGCTTACAGATAACCTCAATCATTATAGGCACGTATAGACGAGCCGCAAAATCACTTTGTTTTACCTTACGGCTCAAACGCATTGGTTGCAGTCGATAGTGCTTTGCACCAATGGCTCGGCCTGGTTTAAGCAGCTCATGGTACATCACACCCGACTTTGAACGGTGGATGATTTTCATTAGTGTCACATTAGAAAAGAAAGGACCGAATTCACCAAGCTGGGGGATAGTAACTTGTCTTCTTGGAGCTATGGTTGCATGTTTACTGTTCCATCTTTAGCTTAGATTCGATACAAAAACTCTTTCCTTTGATATCTTTCCAAAAGGAGTTCAGAGGTGAAAAATCGTTTTTCGACATCGCTGGGCTTCAATTTGTATGGTGTCCGCTTTCCCTGCTTTGACTCAGTCCAAATTGCTTGCCTCATACTGAATGGAAATTATTTATTGTGTTATTTCCAACGATTCTGCGAGTTCAGTTTGCGTTTGGCATGGATCTTGATGTAGTAAAGCCTCAAGTTGCTCATTTTCGTGCTTTTTGAGTTGGGCAGGACACTCCTTGTCTTTCACGCTAAGGTCACCATTTTTGTAGCATCGAAACCGCTCTCTGAATAACTTACCGGTCATTCAATTCAATATTCTTTCGCTGCACTTATTTTCCAATAAAAATAGGAAATCAAAAACTTCCCGCAAATATTGTTTATTAGACATAAATCGGGATATTTTCAAAGAGGCAAAACACAATGTTATTCTCAGAATTAGACACTGATGCTCACTAATTATTGTTGAGTGATGTGAAACCTTTCTAATGAAATGGGTAATGGGTTCTAATATTAGCCACAACTTGCAGGTGGAGCATCTTTTGAGAATGGACTGAATGAATTTGTACCCACAAGCGAATTGTTTAAAAAAAACACGTTCCGAGAGTATGAGGAATGGATTTAACTCTGTTCCGTCTGCCGAGTCATGAACCATCTCTGAATGATTGGTTTTTATCCTTGACAGCAAATTGCAACTGCCAAAGCGTCTATTTCATAAAAGATCGATTGCAATAGTAACAGGGTACATCACACGCATCATGTCATGTTCTTCAACATTTAGAAACAATAGCTCATTGAGGATGATTTGGCTCCTCAAGGCTTACATGGGTTTTTTGTGAGACCCCCAAACGCGTCAACTTTGCTTGATAACGTGGTTGCCAAGATGAAAATGGGCTTTATCGGAAACGTTGATTTCTCGGTAACAACTATTATATTCTGGCAAGCAATCTTTGTGCACAAAACATCATCATTCTAACGCCATCTAGCGTAATCCAATCGCGCTTATAGATTTTCTCCTTCCTCTGCTTCCACCGGCAAGTACTGCGTCGAAAACTCTGAACCACACCTTCTTCACCGCCATCTTTGAATAGTTCTGCCGGTAAATCATCAGCTCCTGTACTTTGTTGTACTTTAAACGGTTAATCGCTATTCGAATCTCGTCATAGCAGTATAATCGAACTTTTCGATCATCACCGATTGGGGTTATGGGCTCATCATCTTTGGTATATATCTCACCCTGTACGTGTTGTGTTGGATCGCAACGTCGTGAGGTTAACAGCCTGTTTTCTCTTCTCTGCATCTCGATGCTGCTCATAGTACCAGCTATTTCCTGACACTACCAAACCAATTATTTCGGTATCGGCGAGTTTGAAATGCCGTTCCACGGCTCGCATTCTATCGAGTTACTGATGGGTGCTCTCAGAAGACAGGTGCACAATTCGAGTAGAAAACCGTTCGGCTAGCTGTTGTTATTACAGCATTTTGACGTCGAACTTTCTCTGGGTTTGTTGACGAGGGTTCTTTGATACACAGAGGCAGTGCGTATCTTCACTGCAACAAGATAGTCATCCGAGTCGATGTTAGTACACTAGAGAACGCCTTGTTCAATTGGTTCCTCGCTTCCGTGTGGACGATATATTCAAAAATTTCGCTTTCATGTGGCTTGTGGCTAGATGTTCATCCAACAGAGGGAATACCAATACTCGAAGACGGAGTTTCTCGAACACAAATTTGCGCTCCTTTATATGGCCGCTGCAGATAATTTCAGAAGGAACCACTTTCTACGCTGGTTAACCTTAAGTTTTCCGAGTACGGCACCTTCCCAATTAACGAATCGGACATTCCAGGTGCATGCCCTCAAATTGTGATCCTTGAAACAGGGTGTCCCTCTACAACATCTAAAAATGTAATTGAAGCAAAAAAGAAGTTAAATTTTCTAATCACGGTCGCCTCTCGGCAGGAATGTCGACCCTTCCGAGTGTATTTCTGAGATGAAATAAAAAGCTCCTCATAAAAACTCACCGATCGTTTGGAGACGGCTTAGAATAAACTGTAGGTCCCTCCGTCTGTCGGGAAAACAATCAAGACGCGCACCACAAATTAAAGAAAGAACTCGGAAGAAATCCGCTTCAGCGGTTGCAAAGCTCCAATTATAAATTTTATTTTTCATGTGGTGAGTGCCACACCAAGACATAACCGCGGGGGGCGTTCACCTTCTCACTTTAGCTCGCCTCCAAACGAATGTTTGTTGGTTATCCAGAGGACACTTGGTCTAAGCCGGAAGTCGTGAGCTGCTTGAAGCTTTTGTAAAATTATAATAACAGACCTCTTCCTTTTTATGTCTATACATTTATTATGGCTGTTGTAATTAACTAATGAAGAAACAAAAAATATATATGTATGAATGTATAAATATATTCCCTACGCAGTTTAATAAACATTTTTTCTTTTAGCGCAAAATCATTAAAATCATTAAAATGGATTGGAAAACTCTATCGAGTAGTGAGAAAAGTCCCAAGCTAGATCGTTGGAAGCCATGTGCGGTGGTAGAACCAGAGCCGCCACCGCCTATACCACCGCGTATCTTTATGCGTCAATCGAGTTTTACAAAAATTGGAAATATGCTAAATACAGCCATGATGAATGGCACTAAAAGAGCACCAAGTAAGTAAAAGTTTAATTTATTCCGACTATGAAAATTATTATTTATTAATTAAAATACGACTCGAGAAGACTTGAGTAGGAAACTTTCTTCCATAATCCAAATCTCCAAATTAAATAAATATTTGCACTAAAAAGAATAACAGTCAAATTGCGAAGTAAAAAAACATTAGCATAAGTCCTATAGTAAGATGAAAATTCATTAAGCGATTGTTATAAAAATAGAAAAGTAAGTTAGTTTTGCCAAAAATGGCCTTAGTGTATTGCACATACTTGTAAGGATTCTGAAAATACTGTATTATCTATTGTAACAAGTTTTCTAGCCACTACTGTAGTTCTATCAACATGTTCGCCTTTACTTGGCAATACTGCGTGGCGTTTGAAAAGAAACGCGAAATATTTGAACCAACAGGGTTGCAAAATCCATAAAATACATATTTCATATGTACAATATATATAATTACACTCCTCTCAGCTCTTAAAGTTTATTTTCCATAATATAATTAATGAAATTAACAATATAAATAGTAATAAAACTTAATAAAGCACCACTACTGCTTTTTTTGAAATCGTTTTAATTTTGAGCTGCCGATTTAATTTATTTAAAAAAAAACAACGTTTGAACTTTCCACATACATCAAACAAAAATTATGTAAAAAAATAATACAAACAATTAGATTATTTTTATAAATAATGTTAAATAAATAATGTTAAATATGTGCCATAGTAGAAGAACTCTTAAGATTATTTTAAATTATGATTTCTTTTGAATAAAACTTCTTGAAATTAATTATATATTAAATAATACAGCCTTCACTTTTTTGTATTGTCATATACTGTTGAAATAATTTCAAAACATGCGCCGCAAAATACAAAATTATGCTCACATAACTACCGTACTTGGCAGCCCTGTACACTGTTGCCATTCTAAATTCGTAATTTGTTTTAAGCAGTCGCTAAGTAATTGCGGCGTTTCTCCTCTATTTTTCGGCATTTTATTATCAATTTAAAGTGTTTACAAGGTGTGCGAATGAAAACAGTTTTAATTCATGTTTCTCATAAAGTAGCTAGGTAAAACATTTCGGCAAAAAGTTATAGACAAATTTTGCAAGTCGCCATCAAACTACGACAAAAGCAAAAACAACGATTATGATTTTGTGTGAGCATCTACGATTTTGGTCAATAGCAGCAGCTGTCGTCGCTGCCGCCGCTTGAAAATCGTAAAGCAACGAGAAGAAATTCAACAGCGAATGATAGACATACTCGTAAACGAATACGGAGCATAGATATAAATGAATAAAAATACAAGCAAAAGTGATATGGGAAAAATTTGAATAGGTTGGGAAGAGAACAGTGTGAAAGAAAAAATCAAAGCGAAATAAATGAAAATTTGGTAGAATATCAATTTTGTTACCTTATCCATTCCGAATTTGTCATACAAATGCGAAACGGCTACGGTGTGAAGTACAATTCATATTTACACTCATATTAGTATCATTTTAAATGTATTATTTAATTAACTTCATAAGGAAATGTGAAAACTTCTATTACTAAAATCATAATTCGTAAAAAATACTATTCTTATTAATGCTAACTGAATTATCAAGCATAGGTTGCTTGGCGTATAATTCAAAGAAAGAAGGCTCTCTATTAAAACAAATTATCCGTGTCAATAGTTATTGTATAAAGTAGCGTTAAAGTTGCACTGGCATAGAAAAAAATTCAAGAAAAACAAGTCACGCGATGCCGCTAGTATGATGCATTCTAATCGTGTTAGCAAAATTATATATTTCAACAAATGTAATACGCGTTGACCCGGAATATACATATGTGCATATATTTTATGGAAAAAGCATAAATTTTCTTAAAACAAAATTTTGAAGGTTATGAGTTGTACAAGCAGATAAAAAAAAGTTATAGAAATAAAAGAACAAACATATACAAGGGGAGAAGAGAAGAAAAAAAAATCGCACATCTGCACAAGAAATATAAGCGCAAAGTAGTAAGGCAAGAAATACGAAGCAACTCGAATATAATCAACATTGAGTGAAAAAATTACAAAAAAGTAAACGAAAATTGCACTTTCTACTGTCATTCGGAACGTGTTTGGGAATTTCCGCCCGCGATCGTCTGCACGTTTTTGTGAGCGTATAGTCAAGCTCAAACCACAAAATTATAGGACGCGATATCTATACATACCATATCCTTTCCTGAATATACGGGTACATACATTTGTGTTTGTGTGTGTATTTTTATTTTTTTTATTATATATTTTAGCAGCGCAACCACCGGTCGCTGTTGTTTTCGTATACGCCACCGCTGTCTGCTGCAGTAACTTCGACGAATCTCAAGCACACAACACAACACAACAAATCACGCAGAAAGTGAACGAACGAGTGTGCAGATAGATTGTGAAAATTTTGCTGTTCGTCGGCTAATTCTCTTTTTTTTTCTTTGTTCTTTTTTTTCTTTAGTGTGCAAATTGAATATGTGTAAAAAGAATATATGATAGAATACTACGAGACATGTCAAGTCAAAGCACTTTTTAAAAACTACACAAGAAAAATTAATTAAATGTATAGGCAAGTGCATAAAACACATAAGACAAAAATATAAAAGAGAAGATAAAAGTGCTAATATAATAATATTAATAATAATAATAAGTGAATTTGTATAAAGTTATTGTTTCAATTCTTTCCATCCACTATTGTGACACCAAAGTGGTCCTGATATATTCGAGAATTATAACGAAAAGATTGAATTGTCACCACTATTGCTAATAGATAGTTGCTACATCCAGCACATTGCTAAGTTGTCATGGCCGGTAAGTTCCCCCTATGGTATACATACTTGTATGTATGGATGTGTAAATATAAAATTAGGTTGTATCGTAGCTGAAAACTTCAAATGCAATTATTGTTGTGATTTTTACCAATAGAATGCATTTCGTTAAATCAGAGTGACACTTGTAACATCGTGATCTTAAAAATGCATAAACCAAGAAGATTTGCTTAGTACGCCGTGGAGCAGACCACTAATGCAAATGGACATTTCTAGTAATTGAATTTCCTGCAGAAACAATTTACCAACATGCATTAGTTTATATACATACATATGTATGTATATGCATATACATATGTACTTTATACTTGTGTATATCATTGAACATATGAACATTAAATTAAATAGACAAAAACCGTAATAGTAAAAAGTTACTCTACAAATATTTCTTCTCCTATAAGTCATCCTACGTAATAATAATTTTAAAATACAATCAACATATCATAGGTTATTTCTGAATATATTATAATATATGTTTAAAGAAAAACCTCATTACAAATGCTTTTAAACTATTGTTACCAGGTCTGTCGAATTTATAAACAACAACAAAACTCATTCTCTGCACATATGACTTCCACTTACATGACTGATTCCTTGACCTGGAAAGGCCATGTAAACTCATTTTTTTTCTATTCACCCGTGTTGCTAGCAATTGTTATAATTTAATTGTTGTGTTATTGCAAAATTTATGAGTTTATCTTTATTTATCACTTATTTTTGGCATTTATTTTGTACATACATATGTGTGTGTGCATATAAATTAAATGTTTTATACATAAACTGGCCACTTGTTACCCACCTAATTGTCCATCCATTCGGATAAACACGACATTGCCACAAAACTAACCGTTAAGCTAAAAATAGTCTTTTTTGAATATCTCCCTGCGTGTGCCAATGAAATAAAATAACAAAACCTTTTTTATGCCTATCACTTATGCTACCTCCCACATTTTATTTTTCAAATCCTGCTAAGCTATAACTCTATATTTATGGCGTAACTGCTCATTCTATGTTAGTAAATCAATAGAAATTTAAACCATGACGTCGACATGCAAAAATCTATTATTTTTCATTCTTTTTTACGCGCCGGCAAAAGCTATCATGTACATAAATATATCTGTCTAAAGCTCATTGCATACATATCTATATAGTGTATGTATATATGAACCGAACCTTTTTGTACTTATTTTGCAAGCACATATGTGTGTATGTATGAATGGATGTCCATATAATATGTGTATTTTATTCGGTTAAACGAGGTCAGGATATGTGTTTAGTTTAGTTAGTAACAAAAATAATCAGAGACCAACAAAAAGAAAAGCCAAATAAACTAGGAAATGATAAATAACAACCAACAATATGAATGTATGTAGTTAGGTATATAACTATGTTAAGTACCTACTTTCGGTTTTCATATAAAAAATATCATAAAACCGTAAACAGAATACCTAAACACAATGTTTATTTTGAAAAATTTTTATTTTTTATTATTTATATTTTTTTTTTATTGAATTTTAACTATAATTATATTGGCACTTGATTATATATATGTACAAGTGCAGTTACATGCATATGATAGAAAGTGCTTGATGACGCAATATTATTAAGCGCATAGGCAACCATCGATAATGCAATCAATTTGTTGTTGTTATCTGAATTATATCTACCCAAGCTCACATACGCACGTACATACCTTTTGTTTAGATTTCACTGTTTGTCGTATGTAAAAACTATTTTTCTCCTATGCTTTAAGTAAATACAAATGTACTCCATTTATTTTTAAATTTCCAAGATTCCAAATTTGTGCTGTTGAAGTTTGCGATTTTGAATTTTTATATAAAAAGTTCATAGCTAAAACCAATAATTCTTCCATAGCCTGTTTCTATCTATGTTTAGTCCCACTTGTAAAACCCTTTCCTAGTTCAGTACGGTTTTCCCAATGTTGACCTAATATACATATTATGTAGTACCGGTTGTTGTTGTTGTTATAGTAACCGTAAAAATATTGCCCAAATAAAATTTCAAAAAATATTACGAGAGTGATAGTCATTTGCTTGAAAAAAAATCCGGGTCGCTCCGGTATAAAGACCCAAATGTCGCAAGAACTATTGGATTTTAGTCGCCTCTTACGACAGGCATGCCTTACAGCTGGTAAATTCTTGACCCCCTAATACGCAGGGGCAATTTGTACAGATACTCGTTTTTTTTTTCTGACTTATTCAGTACTTACGTATTAACACCACCACAGCCACAGATTTGGCAATTTTTTTTATACCATTAAATGGCATCAAAATTTTCACTCAATAAGTTAATGTGTAAGGAATATCCTGTGTTAGTCCGGCCGGGATTAGGTAGCTTTAATATTCATAGTCGAAAAATGGTTTTATTGAGAGTGCATCATCGTATGAGTTCCAAATAAGGCAACGGAACGCTTGAAAATATTTTAAAATTCTTATATTAAATTTAATATATTTAATTTTTATTCGTGTTATTTAATTGAGTTATGGCTTTTTTCTTTCTTCACTTCACTGCCGACAGGTAATGGAGAAGCTTCCTGGTGCTTCTCACAGATAAAAGGCGCCTTAGACGATGACGTCACCGACGCCGATATTATATCCTGTGTAGAATTCAATCATGATGGTGAATTACTGGCAACAGGTGATAAAGGTGGACGGGTTGTCATCTTCCAGGTATACCGTACTATGTTAACAAAAATATATCCAAAACTAAATAAATAATTTCTTTTTTTTTTTTTAGCGCGATGCAATGTCGAAAACGTCAATACCTCGACGTGGTGAATACAATGTTTATTCGACATTTCAGTCGCACGAACCCGAGTTCGATTATCTAAAGTCATTGGAAATAGAAGAGAAAATCAATAAGATCCGATGGCTGCGACGAAAGAATCCTGCGCACTTTTTACTCTCAACCAACGATAAGACGGTTAAATTGTGGAAGGTCAGTGAACGAGATAAATCGTTTGAGGGTTATAATACAAAGGAGGAGAGCGGTCTGGCGAAGGATCCGCAAAATATAACTGGCTTAAAAGTTCCTTCAGTTAAGCAAATTCCCCTTATGGTAGAAGCGTCACCGCGCCGCAATTACGCCAATGCACACACCTATCACATCAATTCAATTAGCGTTAATTCTGACCAAGAGACTTATCTGTCCGCCGACGATTTACGAATCAATCTGTGGCATCTTGAAGTGACCGATCAAAGTTTTAATATAGTCGATATTAAGCCAGCCAATATGGAGGAGCTGACGGAGGTTATAACCGCCGCTGAATTCCATCCAACCGAGTGCAATGTATTCGTGTACTCAAGTTCCAAGGGCACAATACGATTATGTGATATGCGTTCGGCTGCGCTGTGTGATCGACATAGTAAACAATTTGAGGAGCCGGAGAATCCAACGAACCGCAGCTTCTTTAGTGAAATTATAAGCTCGATAAGCGACGTTAAGCTAAGCAACTCGGGTCGTTATATGATCTCTAGAGACTATTTAAGTATTAAAGTGTGGGATTTACACATGGAAACGAAACCAATTGAAACTTATCCGGTAAGTTGATTTCTTTGCTCACACTAAACCTAAACAATGATGATAATTATAATTATCATGCAACACTGCTAACCAAATTCGTAAATAAAATGTGAATTTTATTTTTATATTACAGGTTCATGAATACTTACGCATTAAACTCTGCTCACTATATGAGAACGATTGTATTTTCGATAAATTTGAATGTTGTTGGAATGGTAAAGATTCTTCCATAATGACGGGCAGCTATAATAATTTCTTTAGAGTGTTTGATCGTAATTCGAAAAAAGATGTCACATTGGAGGCATCACGCGACATAATCAAACCAAAAACGGTACTCAAACCGCGTAAAGTTTGCACCGGTGGAAAACGAAAAAAAGACGAGATTAGTGTCGATTGCCTCGACTTTAATAAGAAGATACTACATACTGCTTGGCATCCGCAAGAGAATATAATCGCTGTGGCGGCAACAAATAATCTGTTTATATTTCAGGATAAGTTTTAGCTAAAACTCTCTCATCTCCCTCAATTCTACTTCATCATCATTATGGCGTCGTTAAGAATAATTATTATGTTTAATTCTAAATTTTATACTTATCGCTGCTGCAATTACTATTATCACACATTACTACTATTACTTGCTATCAGTACTGTGTAATCAGAGTAAACAATTAAAAAATAAATAAATAAACAAATATGCCATTGTTGTAAGGTGACGGTCAAAAAAAAAACATTTCACACAAGAGACGAGATCGAAAACGACGAAAGGCGAGCGAAGCGCGTAGGTGTAGACGAAGTCCCAACTCATTACATTCATACGCACATATTAAACTTCATACAAACATACATTTATATAACTCACTATTAGAGCTAATAATTAACGAAACCAAAACTCTATTGGCATTGTTGATTAGCACTATAGCATTAACAAGTTGTAAGTCTTAGGAACAACAACACCAATAACAACACCACCACAAAAGCGTCAACATTCTAGGTTTGCCATCAAATTTGCATATGCGACATTTTTTGCAACGCTTCTAGCATGAGCAGTGGAGCAAAATGTATGTAAATGATAGAGAGAGGTAGCGAAAGTGCAAAAAGATAAAAAATAAAAAAAATAAAAATAAAAACAAACATACACAACTGAATGGCACTGCTGGCTGTGCCTGTAAAGAATTCGTCTGTTGTTGCGCACAATACAAAAACATAAAACAACAAAAATAAACGCCTTAAACCAAAACTTTGTACAGTACTCTGATTCCAATTCTGTTAAATTTCATATAATAAAACATAAAACAAAACAAAAAATAAAACAATGTTGCCTCTGCTAAATAGTTTCAGTTACTTTTAAAGAAGAGTGTGTCTTTTATACAACATTTATGATGCGAAATCAGTAAGAATAACAATTATTTATGCAATAATATGTTTGCTTAATTTGTAATAAATACGGAAATTGTTAATAATGAATATTTTTTATTTATTCTTTTCGTTAAAACGAATATGAAATAAGATGGAAAACACATTAAAATTACAACATAAAAAGCCTGAAATTAAAATTTCAATTACAGCATACTAGATAACTAGATATTAAAGCGATACAATAGAGCAAGAGAGATATTAAAAGAACGATACATTTAATTAAATTTATAACAATATCAATATGCTTTAGTATGAAGCGTTATGTATGTATTAGAAATAATAAAAACAAAGACAAAATCCTTATAAAAGTTGATTGAATTATTTATGAAAGCATATGACGGTCAATTCATAGCGCCATAGATGGAATACGAATGTATTGCATTGCTTGTTTGCATATCAAAAATCAAAAATAACCACGCGAACAAACGAAATTTTTGGTGCACAAATAATAATCGAATGCAATAACTTAATTCCATAAATCGGCCTCTTATTATATGCTTAGGTTATATTTAATTAAGTTCAAAAAAAAAAGTCTTAGTTTACAAGCGTAAACTTTTTCGGTTTATTTCCCCCCAAAATATATGTTATACACATTTAAAATTTATTTACCGAGCAACACAAAAAAAATGTAGTGTACAAATATGTTTGTTGGTGTTGCTGAAAGTGCGTGCGATTTCAACCAAGAGAATTGAGCAAAAAAATCGGTCATATTGAAGCAAAATATCAAATAAAAAATAGCATGCATATTAAACAATGTAATAAACATATTTCCCACACAGCCAACTGTTATTTGAAATTCCTTATTTTCTGTTAAGCAAAACGCAAAACATATGGAAATTAAATGCGTAAGGCACTAAAATCATGATTAGACTTTATGTTACACATTTATTTTGTACTTATTGCGATATATATATGCAAAAGCTTTTTTGTTGATTTGAAAACGAAGCAGACGCAATAATTTTCAGTATATGCAGCGAAACTTTTTACAGTAAACAAATATTTTGTTCTACTAGAACACTAAATGTAAACCAAATATTTTGTCCTACTTTCTCCTCTGTCGTTTTTGTATTTCTTTTGTTTATATACATACACATTTATTCAGTAATCACATTATATATTTTAAGTTAAAATATGTAAAAAGAAAGAAAGTTTTTTATGGTAATATATTGTATGTATGTATATGCAACTGCTCGATTCTTTTCTAGCGCTAAGACATGTGTAATATCTGTGCTCCTAATATATTGGTAAATAAATTTATGTACATATGTACGTATTGTTATAATTAGCTTAATCTACTAGTTATGCTGCTGCCAACTTGTATTTCTGTAAACATTTTCATTCCAAAATAATTTGCCAAAGGAATACAAAACAATGTAAACAGCTACCACAATAAATTCTTTTCTTCGCAGTGAGTGATATTGGTACTCAATTAATATAAGAGAGAATAAATGAAAGACGTGTTAGCTATAGAAATAAAATACGACTACTGTCACTTATAAAATTTTTATTTTTCCAACCGGTGTAGAAGGGTGAGGCACTCAGTTAACACATAACAGTAAAAACATTTTTAAATAATCATTATTTTAATGCCCGTGAACAAAGAAATATTTTGTTAATTGAAATAGTAGTAAAATAAAAAAAATATTTCACATGAAAAGTGCGATCACACAGCTGATAATGAGGCAGTGCGTACCATTTTTAAATAAATTACATACAATGATCATAACGATAATGCTCTTGAAAAAAAAAATTAACTAAAAAAAAAAAACATATAAAAAATAAATTTAAAAATAGCAAACGAAATAATGCTTAAAGAAATAAATTTATTTTGTTAAATAAACCCCAATGTATTAATGCATGCATACATAAAACAGTTATAATATTCACATAACGAACGAAAAATGAATTGATAACGCATAAAAAAGGGAGAAAAAAATATTTATCGATGTATGTATGCATGTATATATGTATACATACATACATATTATAATAAATGATATGACATTATATGCCATTATTAGTAATTTAAGTTGTATGAAAGCGAATATATGTGGATAAGCTATATTGAAACACTTTAATAAGTTTAATTTTTGTTTATTACTTTAATATAATATTTCATGTAAATGCATATTTCAATACATATGTACATATGTAAGTTTCTGCGAACGGCAAAAGTAACTGAGTGTATCTATGTATGTATGCATGAAATGCATATTACTAATTATTATCAAATTTAATTATCGCCACATGTAGACCGTAAAAAAATAAAAATGATCAGCAAACAATCTACTATAATAATAAAGCAATTCAATCAATGCAAGCAATCAAATGAGAATGGAATGAGCTTTTTTGAAAAGAGAAAATAAATATTCATTTGTTTACTTCAAAGAAAATAAAAAAAAAATTCGAACTTTCTTGACAGTCTACTTTTAGCGAATTATTTCACCTATTTTTGTTTTCATTTTTGCAAGCGCCTAATGAATAAGTTTTCTATTTCTGTTTGTCAGCCCCTAAAAATATGCAAACACTTTTCCAAAACATTGTTTTAAATGTTCAAAAATTAATTGAAATTTCCAACTTTCTAAGAGCAAATAATTGGTAAATCTTTTTTTTAATATTTTTTTTTTATTTATAATCAATACAAACATACATTCATTAAATTTGTTAAATTTTTTTTAATATATATTTTCTCAGCAACCACATACGCGATATATACATATATATATATATATATTATATAATATATTTAGTTTATGCATTATAATAAATATAAGATTACATATATAGGCATACATATGTATTTATACATGTTATGTACTAATGCAACTATGTCATAATTAGATACGTACACATATATATTAAATAATTTACTAGGCAGTGCTTCTGAATTCATACGGTATGTGTATGTATGTACATATGTACATAAGTAAAACGTTAACGAAATAATACAGCGTGTTATACATTTATACAAAGCAAACTAACCAGAGAATAACAGAAAAATATTATAATTTAATAGTTAAACAAATAAAACATCAGCTTTTAAATTGACGAAATAAAAAAACATTGGTATGGGTAAATTGGCGCTAATAATAAAAAAATATGTGGCAAAGAAGTAGCCTGCATTATGATTAAGTAAACCAGTAATAATTATAGTTAAAAATAAAAAAAAATACATTTACGCATGTAACATAATTCATAAAATGTTGCAAATGCTGCAAATCAGAATAAAGTGCGAATATTGTTAACATAAATTTTTATTTAAACGAATCAGCCATTAATTCATCATATACTTCTTCAAAGTAGTCTCAAATGTGACATGTTGTTACCTATGCATGTGGCTCTTATGATGATTTTCAATAATAATTTTTTCAACAGTAATTTAAATTCAACTTCAAATCATTTTTAATTAAAAATATATTGTCGGTTATCTTTACAGGTTTTATTTAAGTCTCCGATTACAAATTCTTTGGCAAGTGTACTTTGTTTAATTAATTTAAATTAGTTCCAGATTGAAAAATAGAGTACAGAACTTAAAATACAAAAAAAAACCACGACTACGTAGATTTAAAAAACAGCTAGCTTTAGTTTGATAATTGCGAAATGCTGGCAATATGCAAAAAGAGATATCAAAGAAGTAAATGCATTAGAGAAATATGCGTGAGATGTGGAATATGCAGTAGTATTTAAATAAATATTACAACAAAAGGCACTACAAAGAATGAAAAAAATTTTGCAGCCTATTTCCCAGAAAAATAAATTATTAAAACCGAAGGCTTATTCAGAATATATGTAAGTATGTGACAAAGTTTCAGAGAGCTAATAATATTTGCAATTCAAATTATTCTATTGAAGAGCTTATGAAAATATTGAGCAAAAAGTAATCAGAACGAAAGATTGCAAAACAACACCAAAAACATTGTATTTGCAATTGTTGAAGATACAAACAGCATTAGTTAACGTTATTGTTTAAAATGAAACTCACATCTAAAAACTTATGTAGTTTTTTGCATAAATAATATTTGTAAATAAAACAATAAAAATAAATTACAATCAATTTGGCACGTTTGAAATTGGGAAGGGTTATACGAAAACATGACAAACCAATCGCTTGGCGTTAAATAATGGTAACTTGCTCGTACACAGCCATACATAAAATATTAATAAAAAAAAACTTACCCGTATAAACGGTTATCCTGGCATCCATTTCACTTTTTATAACCACTTGTAAAATATTCTTGGGTTCTAAAAACGTGGTGATTATTTACATAACATGTAAATTTTCCGCACATACATTAAATATTTACATTATAATAACAATCAATCACTGTTTAAATTTCTTGGTTAAATGCACGGGCTAATAAAAAGCGGAATTAATGAAAAGCAACTGGAAGCGGATATAGCACACGGTTGCAATTGTACAGGGTGTAAAAGATTTTGAAATCAGATATAGCATCGGACAATGCATTCGCATTCATTTTATTTAATATAAAATTAAGTTTTTTTACCAACAAATAAAAATCATATCCACACCATGCTCGAAGGTCTTGAGGCTATAACACTAATGCAGTCGTTTGGCATTAATTCAAACTTGGATTTGATGATGAAATTACTTTCGATTTGCAAGGGTCAGTTAATATGGTCTTTAGTGAACACCAAAAACCCTCCGAAGTTGATGGCATTTACTAATTTGAGAGTTTTCGAAACTCTACAATTGTGTTATTCATTCGTATCAATATTTCTTGATCTCCTAATGAAGACTGTATCCCGGTTGCTGCAAATGCAAATCTTTCTTCATTAAAATCTGTTTCTTTTAAACTTGTGATAAAATTAAGAGAAGTTGATAGTTTCGGTTTTTCGAAACTTTTAAATTCTATTTTAGTACAAATTTTTTAAGCACTTTTTCAGGGGAAACATGCAAACTCTGTAACAAGTCGTACTAATTTTTTCCATAGAAACTAACTTATGGTCGTTTTTGAAAATTAGTGTAACCCTGTACTCATATCCGTTTCCCTAAAGTTCCCGTCGGCTTGCTTTACAAATTAAAATATAATTAAAATGATAATTGAGTTTCTTATTTATAGTCAATAAAACTAAATTCAACACCAATCTACTGTTCATAAAAAACACATACCAATGCACATAATTTTCGAATATTTAGTTTATTTTCATAGAAAGTACTAAACTACAATACATTGTGACTTTTACAACTAGTGTAGACCCTATGGTTTGGGTAATTGTGTACATTATATTATATGCAGATTCTCTTTTTTGTGTGTTTGTGAAAAAAAAATATTCTTCATCAGACAAAACATGAATTTGCTAAATCTATTTATGATAAATGAATGAAATTATCAAATACACTGATATCAGTCAAATGAGCTTTACATTTTAAGTTGATAGTAACAAAATATTCAAAGTCGTTAAAAATTTCGACATGACTTTTTTGAAGTTCTATATCGTGGCACATCACAAACCGTGCATAACTTTTGCGACAAATATAAAGCAATACAACATTAATGTCAATTTAATCGGCATACTAACCACATTTGTTATTGCGTTATTACGTACATTTGAGAAACTATCAATAATATGTATTTTCCAGCCCATATTGGCGTGTGTAAAACTATTGTAGTATACAGTGTCGGGCCAAGTAATATTCGGAGTTATTTCTAATGTAGCGGGCTCCTCATTGGGGCAAATATTTATAAGTGAGCGATTGAATTTCTTGAAACTGGGAAAATTATCATCCAAACGACGGTCATAATTAATGGGATACTTGGATATGCACAACGGACCAGCAGCTGTTGGTTTTGGCCGACCGCGACGTGTAAATTCAACGCCAGCCAGTACGCGAATTTCACTTTGTTTAGCATCGCTAAGACGATCGTAGCCGCCATGGGGTTCATCTGTTATCACCATTGGATGATAGTGTTCGGGCGAATGTGGATTATTACCACCGCGTACCTATAGCAAATGAGAATGAACATTTTTCGGTTTTAATTTATGTGAAAAATAAAAAGTTGCTATTATTAAGTTCTATGATGGTTCAGTATTTTGAAGAGTTTAAATTTTATATTTTTTAGCAGAAATTATAAACTACTTTAAAAAAAAATATTCAATTTTTTATATGTAGTAGTGTTTTTAATTTTTTTTTTTTTAATTTATATATTCATAATCAAGACGATTTGAATAAATTGAAGTCAGTTGAGTTTTCTCATTCATCGGTCGTGGTTATTATCCAAACTATTTTTCAGTTTAAATTTCGTTTGTTTAAATTTCATTTTCTATTTGTAAACATGAAAATCTGGAGAATTGTGATTTTGTGAACAAAGAGTTAGTGCGTTCATAAAAGCCAATCAATTTTGTGTGATTTCGACAGCCGCCACTGTATAGCAAAAACAATATACATGATAATTTATGTATTTGTTCTCCTGCTAACTAACACCTTTATGACTTCACCTTGGTACATAAGTTCTAAAACTTACAAAAAATATTGTAGATACTATACCTTAAAGACGTATGTAAGTCCACGTTTCAAATACAACTCGGGCGTCATATAACCATTAATGTACCAAGCCAATCCACTGGAAACATGCCCCGTAACACCTTGGTAACCGCGCAAGCCGCCCGATGGTCCGAGATAGGCATTAAAGGTGCGCACCGTACTGTAAGCGAATAAAGGAGGAATAAACTAAAAATGACATGTTCAAATTTAAAGTATACTCACGGATCATGTAAGCGAACACGTTCCCATATTTGTATAGGTGTGTCCGGACGCTTTGTAAAACTGAAGCAATCATTTATCGGTTCTGTGGTATTGAAGTCGATGAGTATATCACTTTTTGGATAAACGTAATGGAATGCCGGTTCCGAATTAGAATCCAACTGTCCCAAAGCCCAGATTACATAATTACTCTTATCAAGGCGTATTTCCTTGTCGCCGGAATCCGCTAATAAAAAAACAAATACACAAACGAACAAATGAAATATCGTTATATTTTTTCAATACTCGACGCATATAGAAAACACTTACACGAGATTAAAGTACGCCTAAAAGTAATCGTATTAATACCATCCTTACGGCTATAGGTGTTAAGTTGAAAACTGTCCAAGCCACCGACTACATCATCACGGCACACACCCTTATTTTGGCCCAACACTTGAACACACTGTATTTTATTATAAACATATTTGAACTTAATAATGAAACATCATTTTCTCAAGGTGTGCACTTACCGGCGCTAAGGAAGTGATATTGTAATCCACAGAATATCCACGAATATCATCGATATACGCCACAACCACATCTGCGCCAATCATTTGACTTGACGTCTCCGAGCCGGATATGCCAAATGACATATAATCATTCTTGTCCACCTGACCGGAGAGCTGTAATGTTATTTGTGGACCAAACACTTCCCATGATACTTGCAGGTTTTTATGCAATTGCCGACAATTCGGCAGGGAGAATTCATAGGGTGTGATCTTCACCAACGACGGTGGCACATTGAGATTGTCGGCTATTAAAACATGTCCGAAGTTCTCATTATCAGCCAAATCATATATGCTGATCCAATCAATATCGAAAATCGTCTTATCACCGGGCAATTCCAATGTGATGGTCTCTTTGTCATATTTTCGTATGGGATCCAAGCTGTCGCAAAGGATATGTGTACATAATTTAAATCTTATTAGTCCAATCTGTGTTCAATCGTAAATGGATACATATGTATATATTGTACGTGTAAGTAATTAAACCAAGTTGAATTATTAAGAGCATACGATTAATTTATTAATCTTATAACACTAACAACTAAATGTTGTTTCAAACACTTACTATCCCATCTCGTCAGGTATCTTGCTGCCACGACTTGACGGTTGCGCACCCACACCAGTCCAAAAGAACGTACGCTTTCCCAATCCATCGTAGGTGAAATCTTTAATGCGTATTGTCTTCGAGTCGAGCATCTCGATGGCACTACTGCTCACGTTATGGCTACGACGGGAGAATGTACCACCCGCTTGTGCTAGTGGTGGCTCGAATTCTTCGGGTATATAAACATCACCGAAATTATTCTGATTATTTAAATCGTAAACGGCCAACCATTTGATTTCAGTAATTTTCTTACGATCAGGCAAGGAGAGCGTAAAATCTTTGTTGTGATAACGGTCAAGTATATTGGTTCTGTAAATATTTATGTATTGTATATAAGTTATTGAATTTCAGTACCAAAAGCTAGATAAAACGTACTTGCCATATTCATCGGGTACAATGAAACCCTGTGGCCCGGGGCGATTTGATGCGCCCGCCCAAAAGAAGGTATCCGCTCCGTTGCCGTCATAATTAAACCCGATTATCAGAAAAGTATACTCATTTACGGCATATACGTCCCCGGATACCTGAAAAAGTATATGCATTTAAAAAATATTGAATATATATTTGTACATATGTATATATACTATTGTGTGTTTGTATTGAACTGACCTGATGATGATATGAGTTAATTTTGCCCAAGTATTTTCCACGATATGGACCATCTTCATCCTCTTCGAGAGCAACTGAAATTTTAGTTAATCAAGTTCATTTTTTTCAAATTTTGTTAAAACTCAAATTTCTTATTAACTATTGTACTTGTTCTTTTCGGGACTATTATTGAAACCTGAACTGCGATTGAGACCCTCACACCTTAATGAAACTTGCTCTTCACTTTCTACATGGCTTATACATCAGAGGTTCTTCTGCAAAAGAATTTAGTTCTCATGTATGCATGATTACCAGATGTTGAGACTATGTCCGAATTACGACATCAGTCAACGCTTTCCCTAACTCTGCTTCCGCGAATGTCGTCATTAGAATCCGTGAACCAATAAAAACAACATTGCATCGCGAAAAAGTAACATCTTTGATTAAAAGAACTACCGACTGCGTAACTGTGACCTCTATAATCCATACTGGCGTGCTATTTTCTGAAATGGTTGAGAGTTTAAAGCAGTATTTTTGGGTCAAATATTAAAGCCCAGGTGACTGCATTAGCAGATTTTAGTAAGCACTGTGTACCACCATGCGAGTAATTCAAAATACCTTATAAGATGAGAGTGAAAATATGTTCAAAAGAAAGTTTCAGTAACAAGATGTCATGAGTTTAAACCATGCTTCAAGCTAGTCAAGCAAGACCAAAAGCATGAGTATGAAGTGCTTGAGAAGCTGGCTGACAAGGGTGGTGCTCGAAAATTCCAAACCCAAGTCTATGATTACCCGACAATGAGGAGGTTCGAATAGCTATAGCCCGTTTTAAGAGCAACAAAGCGGCTGGTGTCGATGGCTTACGGTCTAAGCTTCTTAGTCCGCGACGGTGAAGAAGTGACAAACTACAATATATGTATTAACTTCTTTGCGATTACAATGGGCTTATCCTCCTAAATATCGCATTAAGGTCCCATCAAACGTATTTTATGAAAGACTAAAGCCCAACGTAAATAAAATGATTGCGCCCTATCAATGTGGCTTTAGACCTGATTTAATCAATCCTCTCGCGATAAAGCAAAACTAAACTATACAAGTCTCTCATCATTCATTGTGAGTACCACAGATGATGGAACGATGCGCTGTCCGAGTTATACGGTGACATTGACATAGATCAGCGAATGAAGAGACCGAGCTAAGCTGAGTGAATGAAAACACTGCTGCTTTGAAGGTATTCCATATAGTACATCTTGTTGAAGGCAAAGGAAGATGAAGATGAAGAAGGATGGATAGCAATCTGGTTTCACTTGATATTTCCAGTTGAGAAAGAGAGCAATAGAAGAATATTTTTGTTTCTAATATATTACGTCTTCTGGGATATAATAGTAAACGAAAGCATAACTTACTCTCACGGAACTGAAGAACGAAAGAATTTATAAGGCCTATATTCAGTTGTTAACCTCATTGGCAAGTAAACAATGGTAAGTAATTACTTAAGAAAAAAAATTGTAGTAGAAACGTACTTTTGTTAAGATAAGCTACCCTACCGCAATCAGCTGTTGTAAAATAGCAAAATAAATTTAATTTGCGGAGGAAAGTGTAAAAACTATCTGCAAGATGTATTAAACAATTTTCATAAATATTATTCACATGTATTTATGTATATTACTATGATGGTATCTGCCAAGTCCCGAATTCTGGGCCATGCCTTCAACTCTAATTGTACTTTTGCTCCGCAGAAAAATTAGGGGAATTCTAAATTTTGCTTCGAATACTCGGTGAACTCCATTTCTGAAAACACGTTACTTTACTTTGCTTAAGAAAACAATTGTTGACATATGTATATTTAGCCAAGCTCGCACGTGTTTCCATATTAGTTATCTCATGAAAAGGGGACATTTGTCGAAAAAAGGTATGACGTTATCGATTCTTGAGAGCAGCATGCCAATCAAAACACATCAGCAGCAACAATTTTCTTAACCATGAGCTTAAGCGTTTTTTTTTAATATAAAATTTGCTAATTACTGATTTATACGCCTTATAAATAATTGCAGTTTAAAAATGGCATGAAATCACAATAGAATATATATTTTTTATTCGTAATATTTGTGCACATTTTCTAATATAGCATTGTGAATAGCCAATAACTAAATGACAGCTGAGTGTTGTTTACATTGCTGTATTTTAATGTTACTTTTGTTTATGCTTATGTATGTATATTAATACACCTAATTTATGTATGTAGATACATATACGTGTATGCATAACGAAATTTTTATCGATTTTGTCAAAACAATAATAATAGATTTTCAAAACCCAGAGTTAAGATGGACTGGATGAATGAATGAATGTCAAACTTTTATTTCATATCATAAAACACTAAAACACTCGGTTGGGTAGACATTCCCTGCCACGGGACGATCACAATTAGAAGAGAAACGATATTGGAAGTTGATAGTAAGCACTGCTAACCACGCAGAACCAACGTCAAAGTCGGAGATTAAAGATTTATTTAGCAGTTGAATGCTTCAAAATAGTTTCGTTCTATTTTATATTTCTTATTTTTCATAAAGAAAGGTCAATCGGTAGCTCATACATATGTATGTATATTTAGAAATAACATACATATGTATGTATAGTGTATAGTGCACATACAGATGTATGCGTGCATGTTTATATGCCTCTCAGCCATTACTTTCCGTTCCGGTTAATGGGCAATCGAAAATCTTTCTGCCAACCGATCAAAACCAATTTCTACTTGAGAGGCGTGTTTTAAGCGAATATTGAACAAAGACTTCTTGAGGCAACTTCTGTTTTCTGTTTGTGTTCTGTTCATTTGTTTAACTGAACGTTTGAAGATACATATGTATGTATGTACGAGTATGTACAAACATGAGTATTTGTTAATAAACCAATTGTTTGTGTGTGTGTGTGTGTATGTGTTTTTTTTAGTTTTTTGCGTGACTCAGTTTTATCCAAAAAACAAAGACTTTTTAACTTATTTACTTCAATTTGGGAGAAATATTTAATTTGCTTATATATATATATATATACATATGTACATACATAATCATATATTTGTATCATATAAATGTATACACATAAATATATACATACATACATATGTATATGTAGTTAAGCATATTCATTACTCAACAGCTACCACCGGACCCACAAACAATGTTGGTAAATTGAAAAGAGTTTAGGCACAAACTTACAGAGAACCGCAAACTGGCATACACAAATATACGAGTGAGTAACACATAAGATTGTATAATTAATTTGAGTAAAATAAAGAACAAACGTCAAACAGTGAAAAAGAAAATGTACAAATGACAAATGTCCATTTGGTCTATTTGCTGTCATTTAATTATTATGTATGTAAACATACATATGTATGTATATGAAGATACATATGTATGTTTATCAAACAACTTGCCTGCACACTCTGGTGCGTTCCACGCCACCAGTTTCACAAGTTTTGCGCTGAAAGTGAATTGGTATTTCGCTATTGTTACAGTTACTACACTTTCTCGGATTCTCACATACATACATACATATATGCTCAACTAAGCGCTCTAGCTGTTATTAGCACAAATTAGAGTAAAATTCAATGCTGAATAAAAATAAAAAAAAAAAACACAGAACCTCAAGTGCCACTTCAATCTCATACATTTTTCGATTTTTTTTTTCTGATTTGTTTCTTTTGCTTTTCTTCACCTTAAATTAATATATGTACTTACAATTGATGTGAAACAAACAAGTTGCGAGTAGTAGCAGAGACAGTAACATTTTCTCATTTAGTCGTAAAGTTCTTTGACGACTATTCGCTTTGCCATTATAGATATTATGACTGCGTGGCCTCGCAAATTTGCAATCGTCACAATTTCCGTTATTGAGCGCCTCCAATAAATGCAGCATATCACTGACGCAGCAAAATGTGTTGTGCTTGAATGTGTGTTTTATTATATAGTAAATTTTTAGCTTTCTTTCCGCACTAGTGTTGTTTACCGTTGAGATAGCATTTGTTTAAAGTCTTTCTTGAGTAAAATTAATTTTTTTCGGTTAATAAAAATTTTTGCAAAAACATATTTTCCAGAAATTTTTCACTTCAACAATAATATTTCTTATACATACATATATAAGTATTTATATACATATGTATATGTAAAACAAACGCAACAATCTCACTACCGTACAGCCGCCCTATACTAACACGGTTATAACCGAGCAATGTCAGCAACGCATGCGCATTTATTATTTCCTTTTCCTACGTATGCGAGTACTTTTGCGCGTGTATAAATAAATAAATATATGTATATGTATGTATGTGCGTTTTCAAAGTTTATGTATGTAAATACATATTTAAACACAATTTAACCGTATGAGCGACTATGTTGTTGACTCACAACCTCGACAATGTTTCCCCAACGACTGATTGTCCATTCTTCGAGCTTTCTCACGTCAACCTGTAAAATTCGCATCTGCTGTTGAGCGTGGTTAGAGCTACATAGACGTGTAGTAATGAACCATTGGTTGGAGAGAGTTTAAGCGAAAACAAAAAAAAAGTATATCCCGAAGATTTTATACCATTCAGATGCGGACGTAAATTTACTAAGAGAATTTCTGCTACATATTTGCTTATGAAGTGAAACTTCGTTTATATTTAAAGAAAACAATTTGATTTATGGTTCATCATGAATTCGTACCAACGGGACAGCCGGTAAATAAAGAGTATTACGAGTATTTGAGCCTTTTGAGAACTTCGCGCGTAAACATAAGTCCTAAACGGCCAGAATTGGAGGATAACAATTCAACAATTCACCAAAAACTCGTTCAATACTATCGATCAACTACCATATTCACCGGGTTTGGCCCGTTGCGATTTTGTTTTTTTTTTTTGTTTTCAAAACAAACAGCGCCTACAAAGCACTTTTCGAAGATTGAAAAAAGAGCTGCGTCTTAATGTTTTACCAACAAACCAATAGACCTACAGTTTATTTTAAGCCGCTAAAAACTTTGATCGGTATTTATTGAACTCTACCTAGAAAACGTCAGATGAGTCGACGATATTGATTATTGATAGTGGAAATCATCCGGAATCAGACGAATATTATTCGTAGCTCTAATACAATAGTCTGTGTAGGTCTTCTTTTCGTTTGTGGCCTGCAGGCCTGGTTGTTTGTATGAATTGAATATAAAACAATTGTTTAAGCTTAATTATTAACATTTTATTTTCTCTCTAAAATATGTACATTAAGATTAGAAAGTTTCTGAAAATTGTAAATAAAACGAAAAATGTTTAATTTTTACCAATATTCTTCTGAAGCGATACACATTTGCCAGCTCTTTTTTCAATCTTCGAAAGATGCAATTATAGAAATTAATAATATATATATATTATATATGTATATATATAATATTGGCTGTTTTTTACTTTTTTTTTTTAACTAGCATACGCTGATGCGCTGATATTATTCATAGAACATATCAGTGTTTAAGATTTTTAATACAAATAGCGTTTATATGTACGTGTGCAAGTACCAAAAATACGACTACATTCTAAATATTTCAAGTAGCATAATTGAATTCCTCACTTCTCATTATCAGCGAGTCTAGTTTTTTTAAAATCGAAAAAATTTTATTTTATTTTTAAATTTCATTGTTTTTATTCTTCTTCTTATCTACTATGATTACTGGTTAAACTGCAAACATGTATAGGTATGTATGTTGATATAATAAATAAGTGATATACTATATGATATACTATACTATATACGCATATATGTATGTATTTACATATATACATATGTATACAAGTATGTAAGTATGTAATGTGTGGGTAATAAAACACTATGTAAGCTCATGTGTATACTCGTTTTGTTTGCAATGACATTTCATTTAATAAATATATATGTATGTTATTGCATGCTGAAAAAATATCTATTAACACACAGCAGCGGCGTATCAGTTCAATATCATTGCCAATTAATATCAGTCTGTAATATCAATGCATTGATAATTGATATTTGCCCGATGAGAAAACTCAATATAAAACGCAATTTTGTATAAAATAATTAAAAAATAATAATAATTAAAAAAAAATTATAATTATTTACAAATAAAAATAATAATTTAAAATAATAAAAAAGATAAGAAAGAAAACCTAAATCTAATTTCTAATATCGACTGATACGGTACTAAAGTATATGCATAAATATATGAACCGAAAAATTTCAAAATAAAAATATATATATTTTTTAATTTAATTAAAATACACTAAAGCGTATAGTTGCTGTTAGGTTAGACTGATTGCTTCGTTAGTTATAAAAGTACCAATTACCAAATTAAAGTAACTAATTTCAGGATAACATTACATTAAACTATTTCATAAGTTTAAAGACAATAGTTTTAAAGTCTTTTTTGCATACAATTAATTATACATATAAAATTATTTACGCATATAAATATGTTTGTCTATATGTATATATTTATATAATATATATATATATATATATTATATATATATATTATATTATATATATATATATTATATATATATATTATATTATATATATATATATATATTTATTGTGTGCATATATAGACCTTTCAAATAGTGTAAAGCTATAAAGTACGCAGCGGATTAAATCAAATGATATGCCTAAGGTGATAAGTTATTCTATTCGTTGCCTAAAGATTTACCAAAAACAATTATTAATTTCGAAAACTTATATGCCACTGATATCTTAGCATGTATGTTATCATTTATTTATTATATAATTATTTAATCATATAGATATATTATATGTATATGCATATCACTTGAGTATATTTTCACATTTATGCATTGTTAATATATATTATATCATATTAGTAACGTTTGAAAAAAAATTTTTTTTTTTTGTTTCCCCATATTTGGCTTTGGCATGTATATATTATATACTTTTAATATTCATGTTGTTTGACGAAATCCTCGAGCATTTTTGGTATTTGATTGCTATATGGGATTTTATATTTGCTTATTATCGTAGCAGCTAAGCACTTGAGATTCATGTACTTCATCAACGGTATTTTATTGTAGGGATTACTAACAATCAAATTGTATGGCCGCTCATCTGATTTATTCGGTTGATCCAAATCAGCACCATGTTTCAACAACAATAGTATAATCTACATTTAAAAAAAAAAAAAAAAAAAAAACATTAAAACAACTTATAATCTAAATCAATAATAATTAATAGAATCACTCACGTGATTGCTATAATTGTAAGGCTGCACAGCAACATGTAACGGAGTTGATTTGGCCTCGTTTTTAGCATTTACATTCATACCACAATCGACCAGTAATTTAATTACTTTCGCATTTGGAAACACAAACTGCATACATATGAGAAGAAAGGTAATAATAATAATCAAAATACTATGCACAAAAACTCTATTTTGTATGATCATACTTACGGTTATATCATTATCATCGCTCAGATAACCACTCTTTATGACATTCAGTTGCGAAACGCACAAATGCAACAGAGTATCACTAGTGCACGCACTACGCACATTCGCACGCGCCAAAGTGCGCACAGCCCAAAAAACGGACTTCTTTTGCTCAAACGTTTCCGATGTACTTATTAATAAGTAAATTAGATGTGCTATACACTTTAATATGCGATCGAAGTTTTCTTGCTGTTTACGATAGACAGGACGAATCTGCAGCAATTCTTGTGCCTCGACGATGGTATCCGTGAGTAGACGAAATACTCCGTATACATCCTCAAAACGTGGTAAATTTTCTGGTGGTAATTCATTGGGCTGTTGATTTCTGTTACGCATTTGACGCTCATACAAATCGATCATTAGGCGTACCAATGTTTGGGCTGCATAACAAGTATCAAAATGGAGGATAGAACAGTTCTTTACACGCACTTCTAATAAAAGACACCATAAATCGATGCAACGTTGTAGCTGAAGTGAATCAGCATACGAAGCTCCGCGAAAAGTCAAACGAAAAAGCGTATCTTTGTGCGCTAAGCCCAATATACGTTCACATATCAGCAAACTTTGAATACGCATTGCATCTACGTCCGTGGCAATGCTATCAAGCTCTGCAAGAGTTGTGAATTCAACGGCGTTTCCATAGGCACGACGTAATGGCACCCTCGGTTGTTTTTCTATTTGTGGGTAGAAAGAATTAAAAAATTAATTAATTTAATTAAATAAAAATTAACCATTACCAGAAAGCTTGAGCAATTTAAGTTTATATATCAATTGTTAAATAGATTTGTTTACAAGACTCTTTTTGAACATAATCGGGACTTTAGTGAATTTGATAGGGACTCGTCAGTATGGAAAAGAAAAAAAGCTTCTGTTTTGTTTAATAAAACGAAAAACTAAATGTCATCAACAGATTTAAGCAATTAAAAAACATTATTTACGCTCGAAACTATTAGAAAACGTATTTTAGTATGCATTTACCGAGGTAGGGTGTATGAGAGGCACGTATATGATATGCCATGCGCCAATGTAGTATCGCGATTCTGGTCTCATTATGTTCATCCAAAAATGTGGAGCCTAAAAGCATAAAAAAATAAAAATATTATATATTTGTTATATATTGTGGATGGCGTTTTCTTACCGATCAACTCATGAGCCTCGGCAACACGTTCGGGTGAGTATTCCAAGTGTGTTTTTAAATAATCAAAAATTTGGTTTGCCCCTTTAATGCAAGCGGTGCGCAAAGCATCATCGCCATAACGACTCTTTACATATGGATTCGCACCATGCTTTATTAGTAGTTTAGTGGTTTCTAATCTACAAAAAGAAGTTATATATATATTACACACAAATATTCAGAGTATATAAATTAGTTTAAAAAAAAATATTTTTCCTTCTTATACAAACCTGTGTTCTTGTATGGCATAATGTAGGGCAGTCTTTTCTTGTATATCTTTAGCATTGACATCAGCTCCTTTTTCAATTAGGTATAAACATAATTGTGTTGATTGTACGGAGTTTATCAGACAAGTGCCTCCATTCATGTTAGGCTTCTTTATGTCGGCACCAGACTCGACCAAATATTGTACTAAAATATATATGCTACAGTTACATATATGTATGTATGCATATATATTCAAAAATGTAATATACATATATGTGTCCCCAGTTGCACCTACCGATTTCGATATGAGTCATATAGCAGGCGCTACGTACTGGTGTTGAGCCTGAATCCGAGGTGGCATTAATATCACAGCCAATGCGGATTAAATATTTTACCATCGGCAATTTTCCAGAGACTACAGCACACCATAGGGGTGTAACATAATGAAATGTATGATCTTCCGGTACTTCATATAGACCACGTTGTTCAATATCGGCCTCGCATATAGTAACCAAATATTCCACAATTGGCACACAACCACGTTTGCATGCAATGAAAAGAGGAGCACATCCATTTCGCATCTTTTTCACAACTTCTCGACGTATATCACGTGAGTGGCTGCAATATTAAATAAGAGTAAATAAATAATATTGAAAAGTTTTCGAATTAACTGGCTTGGATTTTCAACTTAGGTTTTATGTATGTGCACATATGTATGTATGTATATAATTTCGATTTTTACGATACGCTTTTCTTCACTTCAGAAATACACTGTAAATGCGATTTTTTATACATATCATTTAGACTGCATTCATGGATATGTATTTACATATATACTAAGTGTATGATAGACATATGCCAAACATGCAAAACATATAAGCGCACGTACTTTGTCAAATATGAAAACCTTTTCAGGAACCGAAGACACAATATCGCATTAATTTAATTATTGCAACAAATGTGCACTAAATTATATGGCGAAACTCTTACGTGGCCAAATGGACTTATGTAATTGCAAAATGAAATTGTAATATGAAATAAAAAATAATTTAAAACTTTCTTGCATTACTTTCAAATACATCTCTCAACAACGGATATATAGATTTCCATAACAAATTATTGGCTTAGTACAAACAGATATGAATATGAAATAAAAACGTACAAACATATACACTTATGTTAGCATAAAATTAAGATTAAATCTTAAAAGGTTACTTACCTTTCTAGTTCATCACGTATTGGCTTAGATAATGCTGAGTCCTCATTACACTGTTTGCACTCTTCCAATAAGTCGTAGTTCAGTTTAGTTATTTTTCTCTGCATATTGGGAACGACATACGAAAGCCAACCATTATCTCTGCGTGTGGTATTTTTATCAGTCTTCACATTTTGACTTGTTGTAGCTTGCTCGGATTCAGCATTAACGCTACTCATTACTGCACTTAGTATTAATCCTCCACTGACTATCGGAATTGCCTTATAATTGCTTATTTTCTGACTTTTGTAACCAAATTACGACAAAACTGTTGGCTATTATCACATTCGATATTTTTATTTCTTGTTTTTGCGCTGAATTGTTTAATAATTCACAAAACTTAGTATCTTTCAATAGTTTTTTTTTAATATTTTTTTTTTAATTTCTTCTCTACATTAACATCTAATTTACAATTTCTGTCGATAATTTTTTGTTTGCTTGCAAACTACTGCACCCTTTTTATCCCTCGAAATGCAAAACCCACTTAAATACCTTCAAATTTATAATAAAAATAAAAATGGAATCGTTAAATAGTTTAAGGAAAAAATTATTTGTTTTGCTTTTGTCTCCTATCTGAAAAGTACTAATGATGCCAGCATTTAATAATAGTTAAAATTGAAAAAAAGATGCCAGATCGAGAAAAATGGCATGCTTGATTAAAGTTTCTAAATGAATATGCCATTACTTTCCGAGAGCATATGTGTTCCATTGCTGGATTGTTAAATAAGCATCGTAAAAAATATCGTTTATCTGATTCGTTTTAAAGAATTTGCTCAGTCCATTTTAACCTTAATACCTTAAACTCGCTTAACTATACACAACAATTAATTAAACAACCTTCTTGTATACATTACTAACTTTACTTCGAACCATTCTTGCGTCAAGCGTATTCCCTATGTAATTGAACTTGCCTGTTTTCGATCTTTTATAGCTGTTGAATACTTGTATTCATCCCTGGAAAGTTTTTCTCAAATCGCTCCTTAGAACCAACAATCGATACACGCACTCCACAACATGCTGCGATTATCGATCACTTCCTTTCGTTCGTATTGTTACGATTATACTAAATCAACCTCGATTATTTTCTAAATCCTTCGGGTACGATCTCTGGATTGTTAAATAAAAACTCGCCAATGCAATTTGCAGTTTCTTTCTTTATAAAGAATTAATCTAATGTCCTTTATTTTCTCAGTAATTCACAATTCAATTATACTACACTTAATTATTTACAATCACTATCATCAACTTTCACAATTTACTCTACTTAAATGCACTCCCAACACGTTTACTTTACGATTTTACTGATGTTAACGCCAACGAGTTTACTTTATCACTAACTTGACTTGCAGCTGAGTGCTGAGTGTATTGTTGCGAAAATGTGAGGCTAATGTCAGATGAAAGAGAGAAGCCGATAAGTAGTACATTCTAGAACGATAAAACAAGAACCATCGATAGCGAACAACTCGATGATTATACACCTTGGAACAGCGAATGTGTCTGATCGGGATTCGATAGCGAACAACTCGAGTATTCTACATCTTTCGCCAACTGCTACATAAGGGCGACACTCAGCTGCCAAGTCAAGTCAGTTACAAAGTGAACTCGTTGGCGTTAACATCAGTAAAGTCGTAAAGTAAACGCGTTGGGAATTACATTTAAGTAGAGTAAATTGTGAAAGTTGATGCTAGTGATTGCAAATAGTAAAGTGCATTGAATTGTGAATTACTGAGTAAATAAAGGACATTAGATAAATTCTTTATAACGAAAGAAACTGAAAATTAAGTTGGCGAGTTTTTATTTAACAATCCAGAGATCGTACCCGAAGGATTCAGAAAATCATCGAGGTTGATTTAGCAAAATCGTAACAGTATTTGTCACACCGCTCTGATCATCCCGATAAACCACTCTCTTGAAATACAGCCAATTCTAAATTTCATCCCCCGATACTGTTTCCTCATCCTGATTTATATACTTATATACACATGACCTAGCTAGCGCAGGTGCTGTTTCTTGATTCGATGAACTATGTCAACGTCGCTGTATATCTCGTAGAGCTCATCGTTCCAACCGCTACGGTTCCGCTCCCAACTCGTAAAGAACCATAAATCTTACACAAAACCTTCCTTCAGAAAACTCTAACGCAGACTCATCAGATATTGTCATCGTCCATATCTCCGCACCATACAGCAAGCAATTCAGTCCGTAGAAACACCTGTTAGCAAGACTGTATGACTGTATGACTGTCAACGATGCGATGACTGTTTGTCTATTGATAGATATATTTCGTCTTGCCCTCATACATTATCCAATCTGGAGAAAGTAGAACTCATGGCCTCATGGCCTAAACACAATAATGTCAATATCATCGGCGTTCGCCAACAGCTGACACTCTTACAAAAGATTATATTATATGTGCACTATTCAACTCAGCAGCTCAGAGCTTTTGATAGTGGTTAACGTTAGTTTACATAGCCGTATAAGTCTCGTGCCGATACCGAATTCAGATAAATCAGCGTGGAGGCAGCACCTTTTCGTGCTATCGAAGGCTACTTTTGAGATAGACAGTGGTGGGGTGTATCGATTCTCTTTTATTGCGTATTTTCCAAAATTTGGTATATGATGAATATCTGGTAAATGTTGACGGTGGGCTTTAGTCCTACACACAATACCTCAAATCTGAACGAATCGGTTGTAAGAATGTTTTAGTTATATTGAATAAAGCTCCACCCAAATTGCTCAAGTTGCCTTGTTAGGCTCCCGTAATACCGACAAAAGTGAGATCTTGATACTATGCTAGGTTGAATTTTTACTTATCTAAACTCATGAGCTAATAGCTATGCATTCACGAACGTTACAACATGCATAATCTGTACGAGGTTAGGGAACTGCTTAAAATAAATTAATAATATCAAAAGAATTTTCGCGTAATTATTCTAAAAGACAACGTGGCAAAAGTAAAAAAACTGGAAATATTATGCTCTTTATATCTTTATTCGTAGAAAATATTATATTGTTAATAAAATATTATTTTTTTACACTTAATTTTCACAAAAATAATAAGGCAGTCAATGCAGCTGCAACTAAGGTCCCTCCCACGGCAACAAGATTGGCTCTATTTTCGTACCATTCGTACAAAGTTTTTAGGTCCTCCTTTAATTTCGATTCATATTTCTTCAAAGTATCTTGGTTGTGAGGACCATCCTTCACTTCTTTGGTATACTAAAAAAAAACAATAATATATATAAATAAATATAAATATATATAGCTGCGGTCATGATCTTAGTAGCGCGGACAAGCAGTTGAAAAAAAATTATGTAGTTGCTTACCAAAACCAGTTTAATTTTTATTTTTAGTAGTTAAAAGACTAATTAAAGCTGATTTAAAAAAAAAAACTGGAGCCACTAGTTATAAAATACAAAAATACTTATAAATAATACTTTTTACGAAAATCTAAGCTTTTAAGCGGTCAAAATCCTAGTAGTGTCACATGTTATAGGGTATATTTTAAAGCATTTTTTATTTAGGTTGAATTAAATATTTTTTTTTTGCATTGGCTATCAGTTAACTACTTTTTATACATTGATTTAGTATTAAGTTGTATAACCATTATTAATTACGGTGCCACAGCGGCGTTGCATTAAGTTCACCATATTTTGGCACCTTTCAACAGGAATTGAGTTCCAAGCAGTCTTTACGTATTCCCATAACTGCAAATTATTTGAAGGATAACAGTCAGACAGCGATTTCTTTACATCAGCCTACAAATTTTCTATCGGGTTAATGTGAAAAGACTGTGGAGGCCATTCCATAACATTTACTCGGTTGTCTCCAAACTACTTCTTTGCAAGCTTCGGATCGTTGTCCTGTTGAAAAGTCCAAATCAGTGGTATTCCCTCGCTAGCATATGAAATGCATGCCACCATATTTTAACGTTTTAATGGTAATAGTTTGGATTAAGTGTAACCAATGATGTTTTGCACTTCTCGGTAGGCTTTTCCTTCGCCAATCAGCTTTTTTATAACGGCATGTATCTGCGGAGTACAATTATTTTTTTTTGACATCACTACACGCAGCCAACTGGCCAAAACCGCAATAGACCTATTCTTGCAACAATTGCATCTTTCCCGAAAACTTCAATAAGTATTCCGTGGATTTTGTACATAGCATACTGGAGTTGTAAATATATTCGTTTTTGGCCTAGATGGGCAGTAACAATTTTTTTTTGAGCTTTACCGAATCATTTTCGTTGAGACAAAACCCTGGTAAAATTAGTAACGAGAGAGCGCAATTTCGACGTTTGGTTTCAAGAGAATGTTGTAAATTCGTACTGGCAAAGTTTCAGCCAGTTAAACAGCTGATTTGTGATCATCTCAGCAAAAACGGGCTGATGGATTCACCAATACACTCACACGATTTCGGGCAGCACTAACACATAAACAAGTTAGTTTGTTTGCTTTTCTCTTCTGAGTACGGAAAATTCAGCTAATGGAGCAGATTGATTGGAATGGACGCTTTTCACCTTACAGGAGTAGCAGATCTAAATATATTCCACAAAACTTTGCGACGTACAACTGCAGTTGCATATATATTAAGGAGTAAGGCCACCGTATATGCTTATTGGTCTAAAATATTCTATGAACCTTCTAGAAAAAGAAACAAAAGGTCTTATACCTATTTTAATATTTTCTTTAAAGAGAATGACGTACGGGATTTTCGATAACCTAATTTCACAATTAGGTGCCGTTTTCTTTGGTCGAAAAATGAGTTTTTTCCCAAATGCTTCCAAATTTCACAAAAATCAATATTTTTAAAATCCGTAAGTCCTTCTCTAGCTAATCTCATGTACATAAATAATAAAAAAAAATATTTTGTTGCAGATTCTATTTTGCACCCTTTGTGCTGCGTGTAGCGGAGCTCCTAGAAGAAAAATCGCATTACAAAAATGTCTAGTTCCGACATTTTAAAATATTCTTTGTTGTAAATTAATTTTTTTTCTATTTAAAAATGAAACTAATAACATCAAGGTTTATGGAACACAAGGTTATGACAACCGTTGTCTTGATTGTACTAAGCCGCCTCCGAACGGCTAATAGGTTTTTCACGAGGAGTCTTTATTTCTTGTCTGAAATACACTCGGAGGTGTGGACATTCTCTGCCGAGGGGCGACCGCAATTAGAAAATTTTAACTTAATTTTTTATTTAAATTAATTTTCCATAACTTTTGGATGTTGGTGGCACCGGGATATGAACCCGAGCCTTCCGAATGTCAGTACGCAATGCTAACCACTCGGCTAACGCGGCTGCCAGAGCAGTTACGTTAACTTATATAAACTTCAAAGAAGCCGCGATTATGGCGGAGTCGTTCGTAGAGCTGAGAAGCTGCGTCACCAACGCATGGATATTAAAGAGTTCTGCATATAAACCTTGTCCATGATCTATGTAAAAATATTGAAATAAATACTGAATCTTAATAACGTTAGTATGTATGTAGATAATACGAGGTGTGTTCAAAAAATATCGCGAATTTTGTGTTTCTTCAAAAATTATTTATTTATTCATGAATATCTATTTTGTTCCCTTCAAAGTAATCCCCATGAGATATTATACACTTGTGCCAACGGTTTTTCCAATCTTCGAAGCACTTCAAAAAATTATTTTTTTTTATCTTGTTCAAAGTCGTCCTTTCATGGGCCTCTTCAGTTTAGGGAACAAGAAAAAGTCACAGGGGATCAGATCTGGGGAATACGGTGGCTGCGGCATCATTAGTGTGTTGTTTTTGGCCAAAAAGTCGCGCACAAGCAACGATGTGTGAGCAGGGGCGTTATCGTGGTGCAAAAGCCAATTTTTGTTCTTCCACAAATCCGGGCGTTTCTGGCGGATTGCTTCGCGTAAATTGCGTTCTACCCTGTGGCAATACCATACCGGCACGCTCTTCGTCGTTCACATCTTCTCGGCCTTCTGAGAACATTTTGTCCCACCGATAAACGTTGCTTCGGTCCAAGGTAGCTTCTCCGTACGCCACAGTCAACATTCGGAATGCATCCGCACACTTAATTTCGTTTTTCACACAAAATTTGATACAGGTTCTTTGATCCATTTTTTTGAATAGGTAAAAATCGAAGACCATCCAAACACGTGCAAGCAAAGCAGCTGTCAACAATTAAAAACATTCAAAATGGCCGAGCTTGTCGGCATAAATGACAGCCAACATAAAATTCGATTATACGTACCCCGCGAAAATTCAAAACTCGCGATACTTTTCGAACACACCTCGTATATTTGTCAAAGCTGATTTACTTCGGCATTATTGCTGTCGTTCAGCTGTGTTCTGTACGTCTGACAAGAATGACGAAAATGCACAAGGAAACAAAGAGAGAATGACGGACACGTATACAAATGTAAACATCACATTTGTCATTTCGGCCTTAAGAAGGTGATGGGAAAATCGTTATACCTTCCTGACATATGTTCAGTCAAAGGATCGGAAGCCTTGCAGGGATTTCCTATTTAGCAGAACTATTGTGAATGGAAGAACGAAATATTTTTTAACCTAACAAACATTTTTCTTTTTTTCCTTATACACATGCATAATTCCTTAAAAACTTTGTCCTAAGCTTTAAACCGATGCAAGTAAGATTTGAAATTGTACCCAAAGCAAAAAAAAATTAGGTTTGTCCAGATCATTACATCGTCTAAAGCAAAACGGATAATACCAATTCTATATACTTAACACATACCTTTGACAATGCGTCCCAGCGAGCAGCATTGTAAATTTCTTTAACCTTTTCAACTGAATCGAACCATCCAATCTTGCCTGCAAGTGCGTCAGAAAAAGCTTTCTTCGCATCTTCTTTTTTTGAAGCACACCTTGTTTCGAACTTAATCTAAAGAACAGGAGTTTTGAACGGTTACATACAGTTTTACTTAAAATTACATACTAAATTGTCCTCATTTTTGGTTCTGTAGTAGTCAAATTTTTCATCAATTAGCGCAATTAGTTCTTGACGTACTTCTTGGAAACATCTTTCCATCCCAATATCATATCGAATGCCATCGAACTGTAAAAATAAAAATAAAATACCTGAAACCATAATTAACGACAAAGAATTATTCTTTAACACACCTTCTTAACGGCTTGCTTCTTAAATTCTTCATGCTTTTGAAGTAGCTCTTCAGATGCTAATAATTTTTCATATTCGTTCCTTATGTCTTTTTCATAAGACTCCTTTAATTTAAGCAGTTCCATTCTGAATGCTGTCTAAAATATATTAATAATTAATGAAGATTTATATTGATTTTGTGTAGTTATCACCATATCAAAACTTTCTTGACTTACATTAAAAAGTATAAGATAAGAATGAGAATTTAATTTTCACTAAAGTGATCTTATGATCCAAGGCGAATTCATAAAGTATTAATTTTTTCGCATAGCCCAATTACAAAATTTTTGTATTCGCTGTTTCGCCTTGTGGTCTTTTTTCCGACCACAATAGCCGAGTGGTTTGCAGTGCGTACTAAAAATTCGGAAGCGCAGGGCTCGAGTCCTGGTGCGACCAACATCCAAATTGACAGAAAATCATTTATCTATTTGCTGTGTTGCTTTTCAGCTGGGAAAGCTCAAGAATTTACCCGATGTAAGGCATGACTGTCATAAGAGGCAACTAAAATCCAATTATATCCCGCGACAGTAGGGTCTTTATAGCGGTCGGAGGTGGATTTTTATCCGGCCAAGGACTGTCACTTCCGCAATATTCCCTGAAAACCAATTTTGTGGTGACTACAGTCGTAATCACTTCGTAGCTTTACTACTACTTGGGGTGTATAAGGAAATTCGATAATATGGGCTTACACGTTCGTAAGTATGTGTGCTTTTTTTTAAATAAAATTTTTGTGTTGAACAATTAAAGCAAAACGCCAAGTTTACACGATATCAACAACAAAGTGTTTTTAATGTAATTTAAAAAAAAAGAACAATAATTGCTTTCAATTAATCTTTCCTTAACTCCTATTTGAATATCTTACTATGTACCTGTTGACTTTCACACCATTTTTTTAAGGAATTAAGCTTGCTCTCAAGATCTTCAATCAAACGCTTTTCGAAACTTTCAAACACGTTTTCAACGCCTTCTTTAGGAACATTCCGAAACTGCAAGAAAAAAACATATGTGTCCGATTCACATATTTTTTTTTTAATTATAGGTACTGACCTTTTCCAATGCCTTTTCCTTTGCGTCCGGATGCGTCTCCTCTAAGCCTTCTATGGACTGTTCTGACGCGCTCATGAGTTCTTCGTAAAGTTTCTTAGCTTCAACATAATTCACATTAATTTCAGATTCCGCGAGTTTCTATTTAAAATTTCAATTAAGATATTATATTGTAAATGCATATGTACATAGTCTAAAACAACAAATGAAATATTGGATTCTTTTAGAATCTTTTATATGTTTTGAACGGCAAAGAAATATGTTGAGGCTGACATTTTTGTCATTCCCGATTAGGAGCAGGCAAAATTAGTCTAAATCATAGCTGTCGTCTAATGAGAGGCCCAGGAAACGGACTGTTTCGACGAGTTCGGGCCAGCGAAAGAAAGGTGTTAGATGAGATGTTTTTAGGGTCATGCAAAGAGGTGGTTAGTGTCGTACGTGGACTGATTGTATGCAGGATATAAGGATATAAGTTGGATATGCCGGCATCAAGTCCGGATTAAGTCTCTATCGTAAATAAGTCGACTACAATATGCAGATTTCAACTGTGCTAGCATTGCAAGATTCTCTCATGGCAATCCGCGCTCTTGGTCTGCAATAGGTGCTGCATGTGTTCTGAAAAGTCATTCATGGAAATAGAGCTTTGAAGGTGTTGACGAGCTCTCTGTTAATGGCGTTTAAGACCTGTATTTATGCCACCACGTCGGTTGAGTTTCAAAATGCTGTATGGAGTCTTTCACGTCCATTACACTCTTCCTGATAGTAGCATCTCAGCAGAAATGGCTTACACAGCATAGTGTAATGCTCTTTAACTGGGAGCTGAATAAACGACATCAAGAGCTTGTTGGTAATACCAGGTAGAGAAGAACTAGGCTATAATTGGCATCTTTAATTGCCGCCAAACAGCGAAAAAAGAAGAAGATTTGAATGGCACAATCTTAAATTCGGCTATAATCGCGTAAGCGATGTCTACGCCAGCAAAGAAGAAGAAATCGTAAGACATACGTTTACACTTACATAAACAACACCACCACGAAACGAAGAGAACAATTTGTTAATATAAAATATTCCATTTTTAGTTGAACAATATTTTTGCGCATTCGTACTATGGAAATGAGATTTTGATTTATTTATCTTACCCAACGCAATCTATTCTGGTTTTTCAAATCATCCAAAGATTTTTCAATTCTTTCCTCAAGTTGTTTACGTATCTTTTGAAAGACTTCTTCGCACCCGTTTTTTTTTGTAAACTGAAAAAAAGAAGATCAATGGTAAATATACAACCAAGGCAAATTTATAAAAATGAAAGAAGGAGATCAAATGCAAGAACGGTTTACTTTGTTTTGCTTTTGCAATGAATTCGCTAGGATTTCACCTTGAAAATATTTATAATTTATTTGATTGCAAGGTTAAAGAAGGAATGATTTGAAATGGAAAAAGTTCACTTTCCCAAAACTGAATGGTCCGAGAAAGCTCCATAAAAATATAAAAAAAGAAGAAAAAGAATTGAATTCTAAGGTACGGATCAGGGCGAATTGACAGAAGGTAAAGTTGTCACACCATATGATTGCTTGTTCTTCCTTCCATTTCAAAAAATTACACAAACAAAATACATTTCGAAGGTTCGTTTACACAAACAAAATACATTGAACGATTTTCGTTTTTGACTTTTCGAAACTATGATTTACAGAAACAAAATACATGGGATTTTTGTTTTTGTATTCTTGTTACTGCCATGTGAGAATTTGCCTTGGCTCGGATACTTGTTTGCTTTTTAAAATCAATTTTTTTAGCGTCACTTCAATCTTCATTTCTTTCAATATTTTATTTTTGGAATATTTATTTATTTGTTAATTTTTGTAATAAAACGTGTCAACCGATCACAACAGTGTAGGTATTATAAAGACTCCGTCGTCTCCCTATACCCTTAAAACTAAGAGCAACAATAATTTACCCATGTAAACTCAGTCTAAGCGATTGTACATTTTGTTTTTTTTTACTATGGAATTCAGTTTCACTAAAGGTTATTTTAAGTACCTGCTTATAAATCTCTGATTTAACTACTTCAATACTTTGATCAAACTCCTTTAGTGAGCCCTTCAGTATTTCCTGCCCTTTTTCGTTAAAATTGGTAACACATTCATTTAAAAGCTTAAGATATCTGAGCTCTGTCAAAGCCTGAAACAAAATAAAACATTTTGATTTATTCATTTACATACGTGTATATCGAAGATATCAGTGACTTTAAGAACTTTACCAATTTGCCTTTATTGATTTGCAAGTACTGAGAGAGATTCGAACTTGCAGAATTTTTAATTTTCTCATAAAATTTTTTAAGAAAACTCTCTTTGCCCAGTATTATATGATTTTCATAGTAATCAGTCGATTTCTTCAAAGCCTCCTTGTGTATCTTCTTTAACTCTTTTTCTTCTATATATGGTGCATCTGGCCTCACATATTTTTCCATTTCTGCTTCGTATATTTCTTTGGCAGTATTGGCCACAATTTCATTATTAAGCTCTGCGGTAGCCTAAAACGACAGGAAAGGATTTTCCTAAGTTTGTATTTATTATATGATCCGTTTAATTTGAGAGTGGTTTGGGTACATTTTTTTCTTATATCGAGATATTTAAGGGTTTGCGTTTGAATTGTTTCAAAAATATCGTTAACTGGTATTAAGTTGATTTTATGGCTTTGTGACCTTAAACATGTTAGAATATATATATCATAATATGTTTTGTAAACTTTACTAGAAAAATAATTTTAAATTTTTTCACTCAACTTACTCAACTACGTTCATATAATTCCAATATAATTCAAGGCGAATTCATAAATTCACCTTGATATAATTATTACATGGGGCTGATTAGCAAACAATTTTTTACTTTCATAATAATATTGAACAAATTATCTAAATCTGTTGTATAGGTAGGTATGGTGATTCCTCTGAATAGTTAGATTTTTAAGGTTTTAAGTTTTTGAAATTATTATTTTAAAGAAATTAAATAGGAAACCATGTATTTAAATGCAAATATTAATTCATTTAATAAAAAATTAAACCTACATTCATTTATTAAAGATCATATTAAAGATTTTGCAATATTATTTCTCCTTATGTAGAATTTGTGTCATGCTGTTAAAATATCGAGTGGGTGGTATATACCTTAGTAACTCCATCATATCCTCATTTCAAATCCTTATACTTAAAAGTTGAAATTGGTCGTACATTTTTCAATAATGGTTTAAAATTTGTTTTGTGTAAGTTCCAAGGTAATATATCAATTATTTTGAACACTGTATCCACTTCCATGGATTCTGCAGAAAACATTACTAAATTACATTTACTTTTTATAAATTGCATCCAACATATTCTTAGCCAATTTTACAAATTTCACCCTAGTGTTTTTTAACCTTTCATGAATTGCTTCATCCAGAGGTTTTGTAGAACAAATATCTTCACATTTCATTTTAGTTAAGAAAAATTTGCTACTCTTTCATAGTAATCCTGGAGTTAATGTATGCCCCCATCACTATCATTTGGCAAAAATGAATGTCCTGATAGTAAAAGCTAATGGTCAATAACATCTGCATTATTTTATGCTAACTGTATAATTTTCAATCATGTCAGTGCCACTTTTACATCACTGTTCTGCCCAGTGCACACACATATCGCTGTAAGTTTTGATATTTTTCTGATTTCGAAGATTTTTGAGCTGGGTGTTTTAATATACAAAGTACTACTTCTTGAGAGCCTCTCAATACCACAGTTTCATCCCAAACTCCCCCTCAGAATTTCGTAACATTAAATATTCCATATCAAAATTATTACTTTCAGTAGACTTAAACCAAGTTCAAAACGAATTTTTTGGCATTTCGAGAACCAGCTAATTTTCATGTACCCCAAATAATAACGATTTTAGTCAAGTATCATAACTTAAATTTTTTATAAAAAAATATTATATATGATTGTGATTATTGTTATCATTAACTAAATTTTTTCTAAAGATGGACTAAAACCACTTTCAAAATAAACGGCTCATATATAGAGAGAGATTTTCAAATTTATATGAATATGGCGATTACATAATAAACGTAAAAAAATGGCGATTTTTTCTACGATGGCCTTCGATTAGGCTGAAGTTCCAAATATGGCCTAATTTCATGGCAAAACTGAGAGAAGTCGACTTGAAAAATGTTTAAAATGGTTTTCTTGAAGCTTTGGTGGTAACAAACTCAACGAAAATATTTCAGCCAAATCGAATACCATCGCATCGAAGTCTAATATGTTTGATAAGAACGATCGTATATATGTACACTCATACCTTAAATATAGTAGTGGGTTCTGGAAATTCCTTCGTGTTGAATACCTTGAAATACTCTTGAATGTAGTTGAAAAAATGTGTTGCTTTCAATTCTATACCATTTATTTCTTTAATAATTAAATTTTCTGGAGCCAAAATTTTCGGAATAAAGTCAAGTAACGCTTTTTTAAAATCGGTTCGAATTTCTTTTAAGCATCCATTAAAGTCTGGTTCTTCTATAACAAAACCGGGATGTGGCATTAAATAACAATCTATGTTATTAAAGCTTTTCACCACACTTTCATAAAGCTGTTGATTCTCCAACGGTTTTCTATTTTTTATAAGCGAATCGAGTAGCTGCTTTCCACCATCTGCACCATACGAATATTCCCATTTATGTTGCCAGTCGCGTATTAGGAATTGTAACTTTTGAAACGGTTGCTTCCCTGTATCCTTCTTTGCTATTTTACCATACTCCGTAAATAGTTGTAAATGTTGTAAGTCATCTTTCTGGATGTTTGACTGTATATTAAAAATTTGCACCGAAGAAATCATAGTGCTGAAGGCAAAAATATTAGAACAATCTTTCATTGTGCTTTCGCTATCGAAGGTGCCTTGAGTGTCCATTAGAATAATAGCCACTTTTCGGCCATCTGAATAATCATGCAGAAACACATCGGACCAAATCAAAATTCCAGTGGTTTCACGTTTACAGCCACTGCGCCATGAAAAACCAGTGAGTGGTTCATCATCTTCACCAATCCATCCATTACCATCATCAAGTTTATGATGAACATACTAAAAGAAAATTTCTTAATATTACTAAAATTAAAGAATAAACATTGTAGAATTCAGTCTTTCAGAATTTGCAATATATTTCTTTAAAAAATCAATTCACATGGAATAGTTGTATCCAACATGTCGCGCATTAAATCAAACAGCATACTCAAAAAATCTTTAGATTTCAGTAGAGAGATTTAGTGTGATAGATATAAAGACGAACTCAGGTGAGAGCATTTTTTGAAACAGCCATTAGTGTAATTAGTTTTGGATTTTCCGTAGCGATTGTCAAAATGATGGAAATTTTATTGTCTTTTAAAAATATAAAAAATTCTCTGATCCACTCTTTTTTTGCGCACAACTACAAAATCATAATTTGAAAATTTACCAAGGTTTACAAATTTAGAAATAGAAATTCCAATTAAATTCAAACAAACAAAACATAAAATAAAAAAAAAATAAGTTTGACGATTTCTACGTTCAATGAATGAAAAAGTGGAATTCGCTGTCACAATAACTTCGTCTTTTTAAAGTCGGCTTATGCGATATATGCAGTTGGAAAATGTATGAAAAAGTTAAAAAAAAAAAAATTTAGTAGGAAAACTTGCATGCCAATTTAAGCGAAATAATAACGTGAGCTAGTCCGAGGCATGCGATGTGCATTTAATAAAAATTTCTTATAATTCATTTCATACAGGATCAGGTAATACGGAGGGCAATGAGTCGCTTTCGACACAATTCTTTCGTGGAACATTCGCTTGTATTAAATGTAAAATAATAACAGTTGAGACGTAGGTTAATTTCGGCATTACCATACACATTACCTTTTCGATGAAGGTATTGCAATCAATATTTTGAATTCTTTATTCCTTTTGGGTAGGAAAAGAAACATTATTACAAATTGTTTCATATAACAATTATAATTGTATGTACAATATGTTAAAACAAATGTGTACTCACCTTGGCGTACATATAGCGTAAGAAAAAATCCAAGAGAAAGCTTTTTCCTTTACGAAAAGCTCCGGCTACAGAAATAACGGATACATACCGATCCTTGACGGCATCACTCATGAAAATAGGAAGTAATTCATCTTCATTTAATTTCAAAATACTTCGAGAATTCTCTGTGTCGTCCTCATTTGTAATGCTAATCATTTTTACTGGTTTTCCTTTCATGTTTTGTTTTGTACACTAAAAAGTAGTTCAATTTACATACAGTTATATTTTGCATATTCTCTTGTTACAAATTTCAAATTACTAGGAGTTGTGAATACACAAGGTTATCCATTTTGGGACTTCGAAAATAAACGTAAATTAAATGCATTTTAAATTATATCGTTCATGAAGCTTGAACCATGGCTTTATATGTGATAACAATACATCTTTCAAATGACCGCATCGCGGATTTTTATAAACTTCCTAACCCTTTGAGATAATTTTCGAACACTTTTTCGCATACATTGGGCCATAACTATTCTTAAAGTTGATTTTATAATAAAAAAAAAAAAAATTTCGGAAAAACAAAACATTTTATTTTCGTTTCTTTTCGAAGCCGTAAGATAGATGTCCCTGAGTTAAAAGTTTAACTTGACTTTGAATAAGCATAAATCCGAATAATACGTTTGGCCAGCTTCAAGACATTCATATTGACATTTTCGTGAAAAACTTAATGTATTGACTTAGATGACCGTTTTGTGGGAAAGGGGTTAGGTTTTACCGTTATTTGCAATACCAATTAAATCAAAATTGTGCAAAATAAGTAATAGTTAACAACTTGTTTTACTAAATGATTTATTAACTATTACAATATTTAGACCTGAGTACGGCTGAGCTTTGATATGCAGCCCCACTTGATATTGTAAGCAAACAACCAGGAATTTCGACATGAAACTTCGTAGGAATGATGACAGAAATATATTTTTCCAATATTTTAACTTTTGGAATTTGAATATATTAAAGTTTATAAGTTATTTGTTGTTATAAAGTGTTAACTTTATTCCATTATTTCTTTATGAATCGGTCACTATTCTTTCATTTTTGNGTACTTAAGTATTATTTTACTTAGTAGTCCGGCAACTCCAATGTAGACGTAATTTTGCATTTATTACTCGAAATTTAAAATAGAATTATTAAAAAACTATAAGTCAGCTAAATAAAAGAAAATTAGTTTTAGAATCTATGATTTTTCCTCTTTCCATCCATATAAAATTTATTTGCGAAAGCCTGTGGCTCTAAACAAAAATTTTACCCTGAGTACTCCCTTTCTGATTTGCTTCTAATAAATGTCTGTTGTGGTGCTCCCTACGGTAGCATAGAATTATGTTCCTTAGCTCCTAGCATTGTTTTGCAAGTGATGATCTGGCGTTATCAGAAGGTTTCCTGTCACGGTCCTTAAGCCAGTGTTTTGGCAGGCTTGTAACTTCTTCAACTGCGTCTAACTAGTCCCTGGCGCCCAGAACGGTGCAGCCAGCCGGTCAATTGCTTTGTAGCTTGTCAGAAAAGTTTCTTTATTTTTTACACAGGCCAGTAACTTTGATGTGTTTGTAGTCGGAATTTTAACGCAGTCAAGTTTCACGCCGAGGTCGAGTCTGTTCTTCATCGTTAAACTGGTGAAGAGGGTAACCGAAGATTTCGTCGCTGTTATCTTAAGCTGTCTTGCATTGAAGAAGTGGGACAGGTCGGCGAGATAGCAGTTCACATTCGAACAAAGGTCCTCAATAGCCTGGCCAGACGCCAATATTAAACAACCATCGGCTTATGACATCGGAAAACCCCCTTCCGGTCGAGGAGAAAGTTTCGAGCAGTGGGGTGCAGACACCTCATTCGTTTAATCTCTCTGAGTTTCGATGTTTTGCTTCGAAATTGTACAAGTGGTGTGTGAAGGTTGAGAGCAGCAAGGCCTCAAGAGTCACCATTTCAGTTAAATTTGTGCAGTCGGGTTTGTGATGCTGTGGGGAGCTACGTGAAATGGTAGAGGTCTTTGGTTGGTGTTGAAGGCGCTCCCCGTAGAGGCGGGGGCACGTTTGAGAGCTGCCAGCATGGAGTAACGCATGGACCACTCTCTGTATGTCTTAAGGCTCCAGCAGACCTTAAGCTGACTACAGAAATTGCACTGGTCGCATACAACCAAAATGAAGGAATGGTGGAGTCTTCAGTGAGAAATAATCCGCCAGTTCTACCAAAACAGCTGCCACTTCTACCATTTCTCTTTGTTTTATAACAAAAAAACATTCAATTCATACAAACAATGTATATATGTACATATGTACCACTTTATGAGTATATGAATATATGTATATAAATAAATATAGATGTATACACATCTATAGATGTATATATATAGATGTATATACATATATAGATGTATATACATTTGTGTGTATGTACTATTTCTTTAGTTAACCTTGATCAGACAATCCACGTGGAATTAAATTGATTTAAATGAGTTTCGGTAAAATATTTAAAAAGCAATTAATCGTAAATGCAAATATGTGATAAGGTATCAAATCTACTTACATAAACTCTTGGCGAGGTTTGCAATTCAGTATAATATTCTTAACAAAAAAGACTTGAACTCTTCACAAATTTAAGACTACACCACCAACACTTTGCCAACAGAATGAGTGTTTTATGATCTCTTGTTAGCAGATTTACTTGGAAGGCGAATTTATTTGAATTCGCCTTGATTATTTCCTTTCGTTTGTGCAATGCAAAAAGTAAATCGGGGATTTCCCGCAAACATTTTTATTGTTAATTGTGAATATCAGAGCTTCAAGTATTTACATATGAATGTATGTATGTAACTACACTTCTTCTTTACTTTTAAATATGCTGCTTTCGTTGAAGAATGTTAGTAAGAACTAGCGATTTAAATTAATTAATTACTATCAAAAATTGCTGTATTTCAACAATTGTGAAATTTTACATGCTTTATAGCCGTCAAATGATAAATATACTAATACTTTTCTTCTTATAGATGACTAAAATACGGAAATGAGTTTAAAACCCTTTTATCGTGTAATATAATATTAACATTATTGTAGAGTTTATTTGATTCGATTAAATAAAAACCAAGCCAGAGCTTTATTTTTCGTCGTTGCTTTAGGAAGCAGGCTACCAGACAATCAGATATCGCCGATACCTTAGAATGAGATTAAAATCAAAGCACAACCGATGAAATGATTCATTTAGTAGAGGACTAAGGTATTGTCCGTAAATCGCCCATGTGGCTTAACGTAGACTTTTCTATAACTTCTCAGTCCACTGGTCGATGGGATATAATTTTGTTTCACTTCTATAATTTTATTTTTGATTAGTAAGTAATTTTGTAATATATCATATGACTTAATTTACATTTTTTTAGAAGTTAATAAATCATTTGTATTGGTACATTCTAGTAAATAATTGTGACAAGAAGAAAACTTCGTAGCTTTATTCTCTCTTGTACTATATGAAAATCCTAAGGGGTTTGCAAGAGTTCATCCCTACATTTGTCTCGAAATAAAGGAGGCATGTCATTGCCGTCACACAAAATGAATAAGCAGAATATTTTGGTTTATACCGAAATTGCTCCTTGTATGTATTTTTGTATGTTACTAATAAATACATTTAAAATACTTGGCTAGGCAGGCGTAGCAGAAAAATAATGTAAAAATGTTGTGTAAATTATTGGCTGGGGTAAGATCAGCATTGCCAAAGTTTTCCTAAAATAACAACACGATATTTTCGCTACAGCAAATTCAATTTAATTTATTATAATTGCTAAATTGTAATATAAATATATAATTTTTAATGGTTTGCTATAACAATTATTACTTCTCGACTGGGCTGTGAAGGTGAAATCCCTCTACTAGCCCCATTTCAAGTGAGGTGAAATCCCTCCGGGACACTACATTTGACGGTGGTGTTGATACCACGGGCGAGTATACCTATCGACGGCACACGAGCTACTTAATTTTCTTTAGATTTTCCTCGCCTTTTATACAATTCTGCGCGCAGGCATAATGTTATTTAATAAAAATAAATTATTACCTTAAAAGTTTTCCTTAAAACTATGTGTGTGTATTTATATAAATGTTGATGGAAATTCATGTTTGAACATGTTTCTCCTAGTGAAAGCAAAGCGAATATGCATAAAGCGGAATTCATAAAATGTTCACGTATGTATATAAATACATGTTAGGGGCGCACTTAAACTCAAAATCATCGTATTTCTATATATATATATATATATATATTATATATAAGTAAATAAAATAAGTTGCAGCTTGCGATATATAACGCTAGGCCGGACCTACACCGGCTTCCGGCTTCGCCATACACAGTCCCTTATGCAAAACTTTGTTATGCAATTTTATTTAAAATGCATATTTTATGAACAAACGTAGTTTGTGCAGCACCAAATTAATTCAACTTATTTGGAATATCAGAAAAATGTCACTTATTTATTTCAATTACTTATTTCAAAATCATTTACGTAATTTTCTATTTATCTCCATTAGTGAGAGTGTTTTTCTCTTCAGCCTTTAGTTTTTCAATTTCTTGACGTGTTTTGTGAAGCTGGCCTTCTAGCTCTGCACATTTTTGCTCTAGATCATAATTTTTCGATACTAAAGCTACCCAATTCGCTTCTAAAGTTTTCAATTTCACTCCCGCTTGTGTTTGCGCTTGTTTTCGTTGCCAATTAATATCTTGTATTAGTGTCTTCGACTCCTGAAATTGTGCCAAAGTTTTAGCTTGTAGGGCAGCAATAACCTCTAGATATGCTTTCCACGATTCAATACCATAATCAAGCATTAATTCCAGATTCATGGCGCGAACCCACTGATGTTCTAATTGTGCCATTGAATTTTCTATAGATTCTTGCCAAGCAATAACTTCTGATAGTTTTCCAGATGGTGGCGGAGGTAATTCATAGCGTTTCATGCTTAAGGTCTCCATAGGCTGGCGGTTTTGTATACGCTCAAATTCACTGCTCATCAAATCAGTTTCAAAAGCATTCACATTTAGTGAAGGCAAATGATCGAGGTAGTTTTTTGTGGGTCTATATCGCCGACATTCTTCTTCCACCATAGCGAGTGCCTAAGACAAGCAAATAAGTTGGCATTACTTTTATTTGAATACATTGGATTGTCTACCGATTCTCGAACTCCTGGATCATCGTAGCCTTGATCAATATATGGTAACGCATCTACAGTAACTTCACCAGCCATGATAAAAAAATATCCGTGAGCCACAATATGTGAGATGTGATAAAATTAAATAAAAGAAGTTCGGATTCTTCTATAGGTTAGCTTCCATTTACAGTGCTTCTTCTTTTGATTTCGCCCTAAATCAGAATAATCAATTTACAGATAGTCTTCACTTGCTACAAATGTCTGAGTAGCACTTTCATCAGAAAAGTGTGGCAGGATAAAACCTTGCAGACAGGAAAAAGCCCAAATAGCTCTGGCAAGCTCTTTGATTTCAACTAAATTTAGTAAGTTAATCTGTCATGCAACATGACATAAAAATCATAACTGTCATTGCTTCTACCTTATGTGATTTGTGGATAAATATTTTGCAATTCACAAATACGCCTGGCATATATTTCACGATTTCAAACGTAAACATATTCGAGGCCTTAATTTAAACCCGCAAATTGCTGATACAATGCTCACCCGCATTTTATAACTTTATCTGCGTTAATGAAGGATCATTGATCTATGTTAATGTTGTGAAACGAATCCACAAATTTTAAATAATTATAAGTACGACAGCTTAGACCTATCATTCAGAAAAAGTTCTTTGTGAATTGTGAATGATTTTCATGTGTTTACAAAAGAAAACATATGGAATTCATTCACAATGAGAAGGCGAATTTACAGTTTGGACATATGTAAGTTCGCCTTTGTGCAAGGCGAATCTGCGTTTACCAGCTGATAAATAAACGTCTTACTTTTTTGTCACTGGCAGTACTAAAAGTTCTTTATTAGCTTCCGCCTAATTCTTAGCGGAATATTTGAATTTTTTTTATTGTAAAACCATTGACTAATTCATAATAAAAGTGTATTAATAATCTTCCGGTTCCATTATTTTTATTAATACTATTGTTTGCGATTTATGAGTTCCTTATGTCTAAGAGAAGCTTCAACAAGGACATGTTAGATGACAGAAATGGCTCAACCGATTTTGCAGATTCTGTGTTGTCAGTGAATACACTGCAACAGTTCGCAGTCACCAAAAAACGTTGTCTTTCATTCCATGGTGAGAAAATTACGAATGTAGTGGAGGGAACTACGTCGCACATAGGCTTGGAAGAGGAAGCAGTTGAGACGCAATCTTTGTGGAAACGTTTTTACAAATTGGAATGTGAACTGAATGCTGCTTTGCGAAATATAGTGGTACCAAATAATATTACTCATGTATACAACCCTCTCGAATATGCATCAAATTTGCATTGCGCGTATTTGCGAAAGTTCTTAAATGGTCCCAAAAGTGTTGTTTTCGTGGGAATGAATCCCGGTCCAAATGGAATGGGTCAAACAGGGGTATGCCAATAAATAGTCGGACAATTGACGTAATCTACATAGACTTTATTGCAGGTACCTTTTGGTAATATCACAACTGTCCGAAATGAAATGGCCTTATCGGGATCAGTTCAACAACCTGTATCCGTTCATGAGAAACGTCCCGTTTTCGGATTGGAGTGCACTGTTGAAGAACCCAGTGGAGCACGGTTATGGTCTTTATTTAAGAAGTTAGCAGGGGGATCATTGAGTATCTTTGCGGAAAAATGTTTTGTACATAATTTTTGTCCTTTAATATGTTATGACAAGGCTGGTCGGAATATCACACCTAATGAATTAAAGGTTAGGTAAATGAATAACTTGATATACTTTAAAAACTTTGAATATGTGTGTTTAAATACAGGGAGATTACAAATCAATTGTTGGAAAGGTATGCTTGGATGTACTTGATTTGGAGTTGGATTTGATGCAACCGGAGATACTGGTGCCGATCGGTGAGTACATGAACGCCATGGTCAAGCGTTCCCGGCATGTAAACCGTTTAAAAATTTATAAACTGCATCATCCAAGTCCTCGATCTTTGAACAACCAAAATTGGCCAGAAAAGGCTGAGAAACTACTTGAAGACTATGATCTTGTCAAATATATTCGCAATGAATTTTAGTACATATAAACCATGTGTGTTATTAGCGTTCTTTTTTGCCATCTAGTCTGAGTATACTTTTCATTGACGGTATTTTGACCGGTTTGAGACCGTTATATTTTTAGTTTGAAAATAATTTTTTTTACTTGTACTGAAATGTGAATGCCCCATTTTTAATAAAGAATAATAATTATTTCGTTTAAGTTAAAACCGAACTCTTGTTTATGTTTTATTAAACGTAGAGCAAAAGTAAAAAGCATAAGAGAATAATATTTGGGTTGTCTTAGAAGTGGCATGTCCTTTTCTTTCACCTTTTATTTATCCTGAATGAAAAAAAAAAAATCTTCAACAATTTTCACAGCTGTTCTTGACTACTGTGAACTAAATTCTGTGTCAAACAAACATTTTGACTGAGGAATAAAATTCTAAAAAGTTAGATATTGTACGTATTTAATTACTTATATGTTTATTTCTTTTTTTCAAATTAAATTGTGCGGTTTCAGTTAATATCTTAATGGAGCTCTTCATGATCGAAGCATTCGCAGAGGCTAAAAGGGTTCTGGCAGCTGGTGAAGTACCCGTAGGCTGTGTTTTTGTTTTGGACTATGATGATAAACTCCAAGTTATTGCGCGCGCTGGAAACGACGTAAATGGCACTAAAAATGCCACTAGACATGCAGAATTTCTTTGTATAGATCAGGTCATGGTATTCTGTAAGCGAAAAAATTTAAAAGAAAGTGACATTTTATCAAAAGTTACTGTTGTAGTGACTGTAGAGCCCTGTATTATGTGTTCAGCTGCGCTGCATGAATTAGGTGTTAAGGAAGTGTTATATGGTTGCGCCAATGATCGGTTTGGTGGAAAAACTTTAGTTGATGTATCATACGTTACAAACAAAACGCACGACAAACTCCATGTGAATGGAGGCATTTATGCTGATGAAGCTATGACCCTGTTGAAAGATTTTTATAAAGGTGAAAATCCATCTGCTCCAATAACAAAAACTAAGAGATGAATTCTCTACGATTGTAAGAAACCAAATAAGCTTTTAAAAGAAGAATATTAATCTAGGTATATGAACGCAGTTGAAATAAATTGTAGGTATACCACAATTCAAATACGCACAAGGTATAATTACATGCTTGACATGTGTGTATTTAAGATATAATATAATTATATAAATACTTAGCAAAACGATAACCTATTAGTTGCTAGTGCCCACTATTAAGTTTATTTCTAACAATTTAATTGTTAAATGAACTGAGTTTAATAATACTAATAAATATTTATGAATATATGTATTTATGTACATACATATATTATTTTTGCTGTGACTACAGACAAATAGATGTCAGGATGTGCAAGGCGATCATTTGAGGTTCAAACTTTATAAAAAAGGAGTTTCATTAAAAAAAAATTATTATTAAAATATTATTTATGTAGGTTTATTTCCGAGACCGCAAAATGGATAACACTGCACGGATTTGAGGTTAGAAGGAATTTTCCTAAAGCGTGTTCTAGAGCGCGTGTACTACTCAAAGTAGTTGTTTGGGAATGTTGCGGGAGTGACAGTCCTTGGCCGAATTATTGGTTTTTAGTCGCCTCTTACGACAAGCATGCCTTACCGCTGGTAAATTCTTGATCCTCTAGCCCGCAGGTGGTTGAGTGTAAATCTCGGTGGTGACAATATTGTTGTGAGTCAAACTTGCTACACTAAGTTGCCTCCGACCGCATAAATATATTATTTAATTCAGAAAAATATTTCCAGGGCTTGACTTTTCCTGCCTTGATGGGACCGCGTCTAGAAAAATTAATTTGAATTGAAATAAAAAATTTGAAATGTCCTAGATTTGTACTACTTGCTTTTTTTTTAATGTTAATACATACTATATACGAGGTGTGTTCAAAAAGTATCGCGAATTTCGCGAATTTCGCGGGTTACGTATAATCGAATTTCGATTTTTTTGTGGCGTTATGTTGGTACTCATATCTGTCACTTATGCCGACAAGCTCGGCCATTTTGAATGTTCACTTAATTGTTGACAGCTGCTTTGCTTGCACATGTTTTGGATGGTCTTCGATTTTTAATTTTTAATAAAAGTTTTGCCGACAGTTTTCTTCGTTTGCAGGGCGTGGTGCATCATGAGTTCTTGCCACAGAGTAGAACGGTCAATAAGGAATATTACCTGCAAGTTATGCGCAATTTGCACGAAGCAATCCGCCAGTAACGCCCGGATTTGTGAAAGAACAAAAATTGGCTTTTGCACCACGATAACGTCCCTGCTCACACATCGTTGCTTGTGCGCGACTTTTTGGTCAAAAACAACACACTAATGATGCCGCAGCCACCGTATTCCCCAGATCTGACCCCCTGTGACTTTTTCTTGCTCCCTAAACTGAAGAGGCCCATGAAAGGACGACGTTACGCTACGATTGACGAGATAAAGACGGCATCGAAGGAGGAGCTGAACAAGATAAAAAAAAAATAATTTTTTGAAGTGCTTCGAAGATTGACAAAACCGTTGGCACAAGTGTATAATATCTCATGGGGATTACTTTGAAGGGAACAAAATAGATATTCATGAATAAATAAATAATTTTTGAAAGAACACAAAATTCGCGATATTTTTTGAACACATCTCGTACATACATACATATATTTGTTTTATCCGTGTACGATTGACAAGCCGGAAGATACTTAGGTATACTTACATACGTATATACATATTATATGTGTATCTATGTCTGAATGTACATTTGTATGCATGAAATGGTTATTTCATACGGAGACACGTTACGTTGACTGCTAACCTAGTTGGTGGGTCTCCAAACTTGGATTGATTCTTTCCGGTTAACATTTTGTGCGAAAAAACGTGAGCAAAGCAATTAATTAGCCGAACACAGAAGTCCTTTTTTTTTGGTGGAGATGGTGCCTTGATGGTGCCCACATATCCGCATGCGTGTATATGTGCATGCTCGTATATATGTAGCAATGTTTCGTATTGCGGTGTTGCTGAGGCGTAGTAGCTGTAGCTGGATTTTGTAGAAAAATTTTAATTGGCAATTGTTGTGAGCTTTGTTTGGACAGAAAAATTCCGCCCTGCAAACTGTCTTCGAAAGTCCGTCCATTCTTTTGTAAGCAGAAATAAAACAACAACAACCAGCATTGAAACATACATGCTTACACATATTGTTTTATGTTTCTTCAACCATCTAAAGGTACATACGAGTACATACATATATTTATATATGTTTATATCATTGGCGCTTTGTAACCGCTGAAGCGATTTTCGGCCGCGCTCCTCCTCCAATTTGCGGTTTTGCGTCTTGTTGCTTTTCCAATAAATGGAGGGACCTACAGTTTATACTAAGCCGTCTCCGAATGCCTGACGGGTTTTAATGAGGAGCTTTATTTCATGAGTTTGATCGTAGGAGATCAGCTTATAGTGGCTGATTCATTGCCAGTCACACTAAATACACAACAAAACTTTTCTTGCCGACAATCCTGGCTTGGATACCCTTTGTGCTTACTCACTGGCCTTTGACCAGGACTTTGCTGTCACCATACACTTCAGAAATGGGTCAATTTTATAATGCTTCAGTAGTGAATTGCAGATGGAAATTCAGTCCATGAGGGGTTGTCTCGTTAACTCACGTGGCACATATCCATCGAGTTTCTTTATGTAATGTTTAGGTTCTGGGCAATTGAAACAATGCTCGCGTGATGGTCAGGCTCGACGATTTCCATTATTTTATGAACATTTCCGACAAGTATTCCGATCATTTTCTGGAAATCACAGTTCTTATCCATATTCAAATCAGATTTTAGAGACAAAAGCTATTTAAGAATTAGACTCGAGGCAACTCGCGGTTCAGCTGGCAACTCCTCATCCGCAGTAGCCGGTACTTGGGCGCCACAACAATCCCTCTGTGAATATCTTGCTTTTAATTGTTTTCAAACAAAGTACTCTACGGAGCCCATGCAGTTCGTTGGCAAGCCTGGAAGGTAGCAAGACTGAACTCTGTTAAAGGCATGATCGATTCTCGCTGTTGTCTAGAATCCAATTGGTATTTTTAGCACAACCAGGTCCTATGAGCTGTCAGTTGTCGGGCTATATATCAGCTTTATACTACTTGCCTAATAGTGCGTTTGTGTGACATAGTAATCCAGCCTCGGTTTTCTAATTCCCATCGAACTTACCAATGTTTCAGGATTTCCTCTCTTGTGGTATTGACAACGGTTTCTTGGGCCCTCATTTGTTTGAGTTAAACGCTTTGAATTTCCTTTTGCGAAAAAAATAAATAAAAACAATAACTATAAAATTCGATTGTCTGTAGCTCAGTTCGAAACGTGAACTTCACGCGCTACAGCGATAACCCCTAGACTATCGTGACGATGTTCAGCAAAGCTTAACAGGCAATGAAACCCAGCCGTGGTGTACTAACGGGTAATCCAAATAGAAGCCGCTTGACCATCTTGACAAGATCCGACGTTTTCGAGCCAAATTTTGTTCAGCGAAGAGTCCCATTTCCGGCTCAATGGGTATGTAACGAAGAGCAACCTACAAGGATTCAAGTACTGCCATTTCATACAGAATTAAAAAAAAACGGTTTGATGTGGTTTGTTGACCGATGGAATCATCGGCTCATATTTCTTCAAAAATGATGTAGGTGGGAGGGTAACCGTCAACGGCTACCGTTATTGCGCCATTAAAACCGACCATTTTTATATGCCTGAATTTGAAGCTCCTGATCTCGGCGACTTTTGGTTTCAACAAAACGGCGTCACTTCCCACACAACGCATCAATAAATGGATTTATTGAGAGTACAGATGAGGTGAGCAGATGATTTCACGTTTTGGGCCGGTCGGTGCACCGTTACACATTTTTCCATGGGGATATATAAAATCTAAAGTCTATGCGAACAATCCTGCTTCGATTCAGGTCTTGGAGTGGTGATGGTGGTGAAAATTTCTGCTTTACCAATAATAATCTCGCGGCTATCGACTGCCTGCGGGTTAGGGGTTCAAGAATGCGTCATGCTTGTTGTAAGAGGCGACTAAAATTCAATTGTTCCCGCGACAGTCGAGTCTTTATACCGGAACGACCAGGATTTTTATGCGGCCAAGGACTGTTACTTTCGCAACATTCCTATTTTGCGGTTACAACAACAACAGCAAAGCGGCTATCGGGACGATAAAGCGATGAATGCCAATTTGGGCACCATTTCCGTGGTGGAAGTTATTATTATTTCCAGTGGTATTTGATATATGATATATTTATATATGCTAATCTACATCCTCCCTGCATGGTACTTCCATACATACATATAAACGTAGATGTATATTTAAGAGTATGCCATGGGGGGCTCGCAAGCTTTTGGCATCAATCATAAAACGCTACTGAGCGCAGTGAGAGTTCTTCAGTACATTATACATACAAACATACACATATTATATGAGCAGTTATTTATTATTACAAAATTTCGTATGTACATACACATATGTATGTATGTATATATTTCGGCATAACTACTTGACTTCTTTCTGTTAAAACATCGGCATTTGAAAAATGTGCAACACCATAAAATTCAGACGGCTTGTTAAAATTCCTTAACTTTAACATTTTTTTCTGAACTCCGTAATTATCACAAAGCAAAAGAGATGATGAAATCAAAAATGATAAAGTATGAGAGAAAGATCAATATACCCACCAACACCCGGCACACTATTCTGTTGCACAAACGGGCAAGGAGACGACACTGCAGGCCCTTACAAAGTGACAGCATCATGATATTTCCGCATGTTGACTTTTTGTCGGATGAAACGTCTGATGGCCAACGCCCGCCGCCAATTAAAGAAATGACAAATTATGGCGTAAGCGAAATGCAATCATTCGTGGCGCGCGTGCAAACCTTGGTGCACACATATTGTACATACACGTACATGGGTAGACACCCAGCTATAGCAACAGGAGCGCTTAAAAAGTGGTTATGAAATAAAGGAGTAAATCGCAACGCTAAAAACATACAACATTTTTATAAAGCAGAGAACTAAGCATGTATTTGCAGACACACATATACATATACGTGTACCTAAATGTATGAGACAAACTTTCGAGACGGTTATTACTGTTACTAATAATGATGATTCTACGATAGACGAAGTTTCCTGCAATATCAAAGTTATGACTGACAATGATTCAATCGCGTCGGGCTTAATTGCGACAAACAAACGACTTCATATAATCCTACAAGAAATAGGCCACGACGCGGGGTAATGAGCCCACAAAAAGTTTCCAA